TGCCGCCTCCGCTTCCCCTCGGTGTACCGAGCGACCATGTTCATTATTTTCAATTGCTCTTATTTCGGCGTAAAAAGCAATCACAGGAGTGGCTGCCTTTCCGTCTAACGGCTCGCCAGCCGCGTTTTTCGCCGCGTCATCCAAAAAATTTGGCGCAAAACCGGCGATTCTCCGGCTGAGATGCATCCGTAAGTGAGTAGCCTCGAAAATAAGTGCCAAAATTTCTCGTCCTGCTTCGACGGGCGTGATTGATCCGAGCAGCGATCGGCAAAAAGTGCCGCTTCGCGCCGGCCTCTCTCTTGCGCGAGCAAAAACTGTCATCGGTAAAAAATATTATAATGTATGACGTGTCACGAGTTATTTGGAAATCCGACCTGATTAAAAATATATGACGATTTTCACATCAACACGCACGAAATGTAGCCAAATTTAAATTTTTAATTTTAATCAGCCATTTTATTATCTACCTTTTTGAAAAATTATATTTCTCTCCTAGTGAATGTTTGCTTCAAAGAGTGGGTTGACGCAATTTGATTTTATAGCTTGTCTGTGCAGTTTCCCTTGGGACGATTTTCACGTTTTCCCACATCATTTGAAAAACTGGCCTCGATATTTGTGACAATTTTGATGGCAAATTGTCGGTCACTTTTACTAGTTGCAACAGTTGGTATGACGGTTTCAGTTTTCAAAAATTTTCCACGTCGTCAGAAGTTTCAAAATTTATGGAATAAAATAAATGTCACACAAGCCGGAAGTATGAATTGTTGTGGAGAACCAGACATAAAATTTGAATCATTTTTCATACCAACAAAATATTTTCTTGATATTTGATTGCAATTTTTTACAATTTTATTTAATTTTTGTACCATCAGTGTGTAAAAATTTGAATGTAAAAAATAAAATTATTTAGAATCCGTCAGGTTTATTGTTTAGAAAAAACATTCAAATAAATTCAGATTTAAAAAGTTTATATAATTGAATGGTGTTTAGAGTGAAAGGTTACTAATTATTTTACATTTGAATTGCAAATTCGTCCCATAAGAAGTGCCCATAAGCTTGCAGGTTACAAATATCTACGTCTACAATGGCATAGATAAAATAAATATACTGGAAAAATAAAAAAAAATCATGAATACTTTGAATTACTTATTTTCCATAAAAATAAATATTTAAATCTTCTGCATTTGCTAATAAGACAATTTATTATTTTTATAAAATAATTTCAGAAGAATGGTCTTTTTATAAAATCGGTTCAATAAACTTAGAAGTTCTAAGTTAGAACATTTGAATTTTTTTATCTAATCGAATAAATTTTTAGGAAACGTTTAATAAATTTTTATAATCTTTGATGAAGAGGCTAAAAACTTATGAATTTCCCCTCTAAATTCAAATTTATCACAAGTTGCTACTTGCAATCTGTGTTTGTGATTTCTAGTTTTTGGCCTTTTTCCATTAACCGGCTATTATGTTGTAGGGTAATTATCGAAAAATGATTTTCTAATTAAAAATATTATTGGATTTATTTATAAATTTCTAAACTTGCGTGTAAGTAAGATTAATTACAAATTTTTGAAATAATGCTACACTTATATTGTTATTGATTATAAATCATTATAATCCTTTTCGAGTTAAATTAAAGCGTCTCTAATTTGTTACTCAATTAAATACAATTATTTTTATTTGAATAATACAAAACGTTAAATATTACATAATATGGTCAAAAAAGGAATGTCAATTTATTTCCAGCAAGTCAGCGCCATGTTCCGCTAACTCTTTTACCGGCGAATAAAATGACTAATTGAAATCCGCGAAACGGCACCGCTCATAATTTGCTCGTAGACCTCCGTATGGTGCAATTGCGAATGGGAAGCACGTGCGCCCGAAAATGGCCTAAGCGAGAGTGCCAAAAAGTTTCTGCGAGCGTGCATGCGAAGAAAGAGAGAGAGAAAGAAAAGACCAATAAAATGTGCTCTCGAAAAATCTGGCGTCAGCTCGGACGCAGCAATTAGTATCGGGGCGTGGGAACGCGGCCCTTTTTCCAAAACATCACGTTTAGTTTTGACTGCGGGCTCTCAAAAGTCTCAAAACAGAGGCTACTTTGTGTGCTGGCAGCGTTGGCAAGAGGGAAAAAAGCGACACTGCCGACGCAGCAGCGCGCAGAAACGAGAGACCCTCCGAAAACCGAAACGTCCGTATGCACTAACATTTCTTTGAAACGGCCAAGACACTGCTCCGAGAGAGTCTTGAAATTTTCGTCTGGCTTTCTCAGGAATGCTGCCGGCGTCAGCTTTCGCCCAACACTTCTCTGAGACTGAGAGCTATTTTAATTCGCACCTCTGCAGAAAAATGATCCATCAACTTTACTTTAACCCTTATTTTGACTAGACGCTGAATGAAACGCAACTCGAACGCTGACATATCAAGATACCGAAAATGAATCAAGAAAGATTTAGAGGGAGACTTTCTTCTGCGAAGAACTTCATTGATATTGAAAAATTTAGGAATACAATTTTAAAACTATTTGAAAATTTTAACAGATTTTTATGTTTATTAAAACTGATCTTGAAATTACATTTGAATCTTGAAAAATAATTTCATTATCTCAGTTAATCTACTAATATTTTAATTAAGTTCACTGAAGTTTATAATATTATATTGCAATTACAGTAAATTTATTTTAATTTTAGTTTAAATTAATGAATAATTATGCTTAGCAATGTTTTTTTCATGGTAGGAAACAATATTTAAACAACTCCAACCAAATTTCCTGCTTTTGAAAAGATTTTTATGCAGGGTAATGCATTAATTGTAATCAAACTAATTCCATCGGAATCTGATGCTGCCTTGCTGGTGTGGTGCGGGTTGCATAGTTTTCGTCTGAAACTGATTTTGCTGATCAATGCAGAGGAATTCAACCATAATTTTTTTTAATTCAATTATATACATTTGTTTGGTTCAACTTTGCTCCCTGCAAGTTTATGAGTGATTACAAGAATGCTGTTCTATCTAAAATTCTATCTAAAATTTGATCAAACTCTTAAGGAAATTTAAATAATTTCATTTTAAATCGCAGTCGTTTTTTACCAAAAAATTACGCTTTTATCATATTATTAATTTTTCTTAATTTTGAATGGTGAAAGGGAAAAAACGAAATGATAATATATAATTTGAAAATTTTGCGACATTTTTTGTTTCTAACGATTATAATTTTATAGAAATTTATTTAAGAATTTAACAATATTTTGGCAATCTAGGCCTTAGGCCACTAATTTTGGTCTATTTATTTGTTCATTAGAAACTACTTTCACTTATTATGGATTCCTTCTTATTGGCATTGTCGAATCAATCATTCACAACAATAGGAGCAATTTTTGGGAAATTTTAACCCTCATTGTTGCACAGACTTGATTTGTCTACGTCAATAAAGAGTCCTTAATTTATTGGAAAAAGAATTTATTTTAATTTTCCTAGAATTATTTCAAATTTTATTTCTCAACATATTGAATTTTCTTGATTAAATTTTGATAAAAATTAAAATGAAAAACCTAAAGGGAAAAATTAATTCCCGTGAGGAAACACCAATTTCATTTTCTTAAAAAATGCTCCACGCTAAAAATAATAATTGTTCACATGAAGGTCCGCCTCGTTTATTGCGGCTTCCTCCTCCCATCGTCATTATACATATTTGTACCCATCATGCCAAATAAACGGCGTGTATGGTGCTTTGCTCTGCCAGCAGCCGGCACAGTATGTGTTTTCTCATTGGGAATGGTCAGGAACAAAAATCTCTCTGCTCTTCATCTCGCAGTCGGGATTATGTACGCGGCGGCGGAGAGAGTGTACATGTGTATTTATAAAGAGCCGCGGTGTGTCTGCGCTCATCAAGCACACATAACACACATTCTTGCTATGCTACGTGCACAATACAAACACACACACACACACTCTCGCAACCTGCTCGCTCAATCAATGGCGCGCCTCGAGATTTTGCATCTCGCTCAACAGACGTTTAGCTCTGCTGGGGTGCTCGTCTGACGTCACTTTCGCATCTCAAAGCGGTCTTTTTTGCAATGCTCGGGAAAAAAGTAAATTTAAAATCAAACAAATCGAATTTTTACAGCCTTTATTGGAAAGAGAGCAATAATTTCTGCTTAATTAATTTATTTTTTTATCAAAAACGGAAATGAAATCAAATAAAAAATTTAATCTAATGGATTTCCTGTATTTTAAGACGCCGGAGAAAAGTAAATTTATAAATGTATCAAAGTTTTATCTTTTTTTATTTTTGATTATCAATTTTTAGATTTTCACAAACTTAATTAAAAAGTAAGTAAATCACCGATTGCGCCAAAAAAGTCTGAATATCAAGCCCTTGAAATTGAATGTTTCTGCGATAATAAAACCACATCCGGTTCAATATGATTAATTTTTACATCAATTAAAAATTAGCTGATAGTTTTATATTTAATCAAAAAGCCGGAGCTGTGTGAAATTAACAGGATTATTTCTTGATAGCAATACTTTGTAATGCTTTTAGAATGCAGGAAAAAATAAACTGTTTGGCAATCCGGCGCTACTTTACACATTTCACACCACAATTTTCGCTCTCAAAATTCATTAGAATTTTTACCAAAAGTTTTAATTTTATCTCTTTTAAAAACCATGAAAAAAAGTAATAATTTTCAATTTCAACTGAAAATCATAAATAATTAAACTAATATAATAAAAATTACTACAAATTTTCAGTTTTTCACACATTTGTTAAGCTTTTGCATTTATATTTAGATGTAAGAAATTAAAAGTGAATTTAATAAATTGAAATGACAAAATTTTACTCCCATTCAAAGTGTCAATGTTAAAATCATTGTAGAAAAAATTAAAAACAAAATGTAAATTAATCTTAGAGCTAGGAGTAAGTTTTGTAGGTTTTTTTCGGCAAATTAAAATATTTTAACCCTGCATTATGATGTTATTAAACAGGTTTTGAATTATTTTTGCAGGACTGGAACGCGTCGCTGAAGAGTTGATGGGACGACGAAAATGGCGACAGTACCAAGCCCACATTCTGGGAGCGTCAGCGATCAGCAAACACGAGACGCAGACTGCCTGGGAGAAGCGTTCCAAGGAGGAGATCGTCAAGGAGGAGGAGGTGGAGGCGGCAGCGGAGGCGGCAGTGGAGGCAGCAGCCCCCGAAGCGGCGCAGGATCCCCCGAAGGACTGGCAGCCCGAAGACAGGTGCTACTTCTGTGACGGCGCGGTTCATACGGAACCTTGCAGAGTGAGCCTCGTAAATCCAGCTCTCTGTGTGGCTCTCTGTGTGGACCACAGTTGATTGATTGATTGATAGCGATTGATTTGGCTGATGATCCTACAAACCGACCAACACACCCCGCCCTGATGCGCTCCAACAATAGTCGAATATATAATTCAATTGATTTCAAATTGCCTCGCAATTGTCGCAGCAACGCACACTGCCCTGAAAAAAGGAAACGTGGCCCGTTTTTTTTTCAACATAAAAAAATTTCATTTTGAGAGATTAATTTTATATATACAATTTAAAGTATTAAATATTTTTCTCTCTACTCTAGATTTTCAATAACTATAAAATTTTCAATGTTAATTTAAGTTTTTTTTCTTTTTTCATTTAAATTTATTATTATTTTTTATCTTTTTCTTCGTGAAAATTAGTTTTCCGAGCATGAGTGTATTTTTGTCCCTTTTTTAATTGAGGTTCAACGGCCGCTTTTTATCTTCTCAACCAGGAAACTTTGTTTTTCGTACAATTTTGGGCTAATTTAGATAAAAAAAATTCAAAATACCACCGGAAGGGAATGGTTTGCTATATTTTCACATCAAAGGCAACGAAAAAGTGAAATATTTTAAAGTCGTACATTATTTTAAAATTGATTTTTGTTTCTGTCAAGAAGTTATTTTCTTTAGGCAATTTAATTTTAGACACGGCCTTATTTTAAGACCGAACGTGTTTAAAAAAAAAGAAGAGCCAATTTGAACTGATTTCTCATCAAAAAATCTTGAACAATTGATAAGATCCTGTAATCGGTCCTTTTGTAATTTTTTTTTTTACACTTTCAATTCTTTGCTGAATTGAATTTATGATTGGGAATTAATCAAAAGTAAAATGAGCATAAACGTAACTAGATTATTTCAAAACTTTTTTTAAATGGTTGAAATTTCACTTAAAAAAAAGTACTCCGAACTTTTGACTCTTATCGGAGCAAATAATTATCCTTTTCCTCGAACAGGGGAAATTTCGACAGAGGAAAACGAGGAAACCCAAAATGTCACGCAATTAACTTTTAGGCTAACACGAAAAACAAAGATAAAGTTTTACACGTGCAGCAAGTAGTAGGGACGGCCACGTATATTCGACTTAAAGCGCCGAATTTTCTTGTTTTTCAGAGCAGTGTGTGTCGCGCATCCAAGCACATCACATTAATTTTACGCATTGCTGTCCCGAAAACTCGCATAGATTGAGAATTGTGTCAATCGCTGTGTAGCATGCTGTCCGAGAACCCATTGAGAGCCTGTTGTGGTCACCATAAACCACCACATAGAACTTTATTTACATTGGCATTGCGCGCATGAAGACTACTTTAACTCTCTCGGATTAAAAGAAAAATGCTTGAGGGCTAGATAAAAATTTTGGTAATTTTTATAAAAGTTGTATAAATTTTATATTAAGCCATAAAAATTCATTTAATTTTTACATTTTGAACTATTTTTAAAGCTGACTTTATTTTGAAAAATTACCAATTTTTTTATCCCCCTACTTTCCATATCCCAAGCTGAACATTTGCCTAATTTAGCCGGATTCGGAACTTTTTTCAAACCAATTTTAGTCTGAATTTCAAACTTTGGTTGATTTGTCATGAAAAGTTCCAAATCTAGAATAGTCGATCCCTGTCCGAGTACATTACTGTATATATCTCAACCCTGCATTTTTGCCGCGCATTTGTTACTTTGAGCGAACACTATTTGAGATTTTTCGGCGGACGATTTTGTTCGACCGAAAATCGTCGCCAGGCGTTAATTGTGCGTTTTTCCGCAGAGTCCGCAGCCCTCCGAGAGCAGCCAGAGTTCGATGGACTCTTCGCCTCAGCCGGCTTCTGTGGACCTGAACGCGGCCATCGGAGCGCACCCTGGAAACCAGGCCTTCTCCCCCGAGTCCCTGAACAGAATGGCCTCGACCCTGGCGGCCATGGCCAGCATGGCCGGCAACCCGGCCGCCGTCGTGGCCGCTGCGGCCGCCGCGGGAGGCGCCGCCCCCGGGCTCAACCCTTTGTTTGCAGCCCCTGGATTTTTCCCCTGGTACCTGAGCCAGGCACTTGCCAAGCAACAGCAACATCAGCAGCAACAACAACAGCAACAACAGGTGAGAGAAATTTAAATTTACTTAATGCAACGGATTTTAAATGAAAAGTGAAATTTTATTAGTTTGCCTATTTAATTTTTTCCTTGGATTTTTAATTTAAAATTAAATTTGAAGTTAAAATGGGCTTTCTTGCAGTAGAAGTTTACGATCGACGGTTGATTCATGGTGAATTGGCTTTTCCTCAATTAGTTTTTTCTTTAACAATAAAAAAGTCACAAAAACCCATCGAGGAAAAGCCGAATTTAAATTCATCACCGGTCTATTTAAATTAATAAAAAGATTATTTTTTAACGTACAAAATAAGTTGATGACAATCTAATTGAAATTAGTTGAAGAAGTTAAAAAAAAATCCATTGTACAATTGGGCTTAAATGTATAAAAATTCTCTTAAAAAATCAATCAATCAACTTAAGAGTAACAGACTGTAAAAGGGATGAGAATTGAGACTTTTTATTAATTTTAAAATTTATTCATCTTGCTTTTTTCAAATATTTCATTAAATTTTTATTTTAATTGAGAACTTTATTCACAAAAATTTTCTTTCGCCAGTTATCCCCCGCTGCCACCCCTACAAATATGAGCTCAGGTGGCGAGCAGCCCCTGGACCTGAGCGCCAAACCTTCGAGCAAAGCAGGCCCATCCGACGGCCGCCTCGACTCGCCCACGCTCCTCAAAAGGTCCGGCATAGACGTCAATTCCAGCATCATCCGGTAAGAGCTGCATCACCTATTTAACTGCCGCATGCATTCATTAATAAAAAATTAAATCAAATAAAATTGAACTTTTCTAAGACGATCAATTTAAATTTTAAAGATTCAGATTCGATCCTGTAGAGAATCGATTGATTTTGGAAGGAGACTTGCATGAGCGGGAAATAATGCCGCAGTAAGAAATGAATAGAATTTTCACGAGTGTGATTTTTTGCGAGTGCTTTTTTTCCATTTTGGTCAAAGCCGCTTGTCCGGCTGGCCCCGCGTGTTGCCTTTTGTAACAGATGTTTCGAACCGCAGGGCGAAACCGCGACTCAGCAGCACCGTGGCCGGAAGACGCACCTACACCGAGGAGGAGCTGCAGGCCGCCCTCAGGGACATCCAGAGCGGCAAACTGGGCACCCGGCGCGCTGCGGTCATTTACGGCATTCCACGATCAACCCTCAGAAACAAGGTAAGTTGAGAAATAAAAAAGAAAAAAGCACGAAAACTTTATTTGTGAAAATAATTTTAATTTTATAGTTTAAGCATGATTTTGTTCCGTCTTATTTTTTTCAAACGGTTTTGCATTAGTGACAAAGAAAAATAGACATATATGCAACCAATATTAACTTCTTGATTTTACACTAAAAGAATGAAATGTAATTCAATTTTTCTGTAATTAAAATTTCTAAATGCAAAACAATATATTATAATGAATTTTTCCTTCAATGTCGCCATTAATTATTTCAAAAAGAGTAATGAAATATGAGGGTGGTTTCACGATAGATTTTACTCAAATTGGCCAAAAAATGACCGATCTTGATTTTCACATATGTTGTTGGGCTAGGTGAGAAAATACTCTCCGTAAAATTTCACTTGAAAATTTTGAGTACTTTTCCGGGAAATCAGATTTCCGAAAAAATGCGATAAGAAACAGAAAATGTTGAATATCTTTGCTTCTATTTAGAAATTAAGTATGCTCTTTTCAGTTCTAGACGTAACTTTTTATGCCCGACAACTTTTCTGTTGACAACTTTTGTGTAGGTCAAAGGTCAAGGTCACTAAATTGCAAATTTCACTTTTTGACGCAATTTTCGCAAAGATGCACCCGTCAAATGTTTTCCGGGGTATAGGAAAAAATGTAGCCCTAAGTGTGTAGAACAAAATCCTTGATTTTCAAAATGGGGTTATTTTCTGTTTTTGAGATATTTTTAAATGAATTTTAAAAAGCAGTCAAAAATAGCTTTTTTGCATCAAAAAACAGTACTTTTTTAAATTCATTTATAAATATCTCAAAAACAAAAAATAACCCCATTTTGAAAATCAAGGTTTTTGTTCTACACACCTGGGGCTACATTTTTTCCTATACCCCAAAAAATATTTGAGGGGTGCATCTTTGCGAAAATTGCGTTAGAAAGTGAAATTTGCAATTTAGTGACCTTGACCTTTGACCTACACAAAAGTTGTCAACAGAAAAGTTGTCGGGCATGAAAAGTTACGTCTAGAACTGAAAAGAGCATACTTAATTTTTAGATAGAAGCAAAGATATTCAACATTTTCTGTTTTTTTGGAAATTTGATTTCCCGGAAAAGCACCCAAAATTTTTAAGTGAAATTTTAGGGAGCAGAGCGTCTTATCTACCCCAACAACATATGTGAAAATCGGGATGGGGTCCTTTCATGAAAAAATTTGGCCAATTGGAGTTAAATCTATCGTGAAACCACCCATGAGCAAATATTGGTGTTCCCTAAATAGTTCTTATACAGGTTCAAAGAAATTAAATTACTGTAAAATTCAGAATTTTACAGTAATCAATATTTTGGTTAAAATATTTCATCAAAAGTGCAAGTTCCGGGCACCTACTTTTCGTGGTATTTTTTCGCCCGGAAGTTGATACGCAACACACACACAACACAAAAGTAGAACTTTAGTATATTTTGAAGCAGCAAAAATTAAAAGTTAAAAACATTTTTTAGAGCTTTTTTTAATTTAATGGTGTTCAAATTTTTTTTAATCGTAAAAAATATAATTTAATTTGAAGAGTCTTTAGTTGTCTGGTGTAATAAATAATGTTAAGGGATACAATAGTGATTTTCATTTGAAAATATCACATTATGTGACCAAGAGGTGAAAATTTTTAATTAAAAATTTAGTGTTTAAGGACAGTTTTAGGTGCAAATTTTCTAAGCAGTTCATTTTATCGGAAATTATGTGAATTAATTTAAATTTTATGCTTTATAATGGATTTCATAAGTAAAAAATCTCAAAACATGTAATTTCATGAGATTCTGAAGCCGAAATCAAATTTTATCTTAATAATTACATTTGAGATCATTTCAGACTTCTGAAAAATTGGGTGACAAGTGATTTATCTTTTTTCTCGTTTTTTACGTTTTTTATAAGAAATTATTCGCAATCGAGGTCTTTTTTCACGTTGTTCTTGTAATGTGAGTCTTTTATAGTTTTACAAGAAAACTTTATTTCAATTACAAACAATTTGTGAAAAATCCCAATTTATTAATTGTAAAATTTAATAACTACATATAATGCACAAGAAAATTTTTAATATTCAACTTCTTTAAATTAAAATAAACATGAAATTAAATATTTCAAATTTTGCAGGTGTACAAATTAGAGCGCGAGAGAGAACGCGATCACTTGTTGCTGCAGTCAACGCCTCCCCCGCCGGCTCCGGCGCCGCCTGGCGCCGATGACAACTCGGGCGACGAGGACGGAAGCAAGACCCTGAGCATGGAGGAGCTGGTGCGATTTTCAGGGCTTGATTCGTTGCCGGCCACCGACTCGCTGCGTCAGTTGCTGCAAAGCAGCGCCCGCGACGGCGCCGCAAGCAAACCACCGGCGGCGCCTGCGTCGTTTCCGGAGCCACCGGCGGCCCTGGCGCCGTACCTGTCGCAGCTGCTCGGCGCCGCGTCCGCCGAACAGCAAAGTGGCCTCGTCGAGCTGATGAAGCGGATCGGTGGCGGCGGCGCCGCCAGCGAGAACAACAACAACGCCAGCGGCAGCGGCGCTGACGCCACCAGCGAAGACGAGGGCGCGCCGAGCAGCGTTCTGCGCATTCCGTCCTTCAAACCGAACGGCAACGAGGCGCCCGAGCAGCGTGGCAGCGGCTCAAATTCGCCCTCGCTAGGCGTCAGCCTCAGAGACGTCATCACCAAGAGCATCACCCAAAAGTTCCAGGTCAGACTTGTTTAGTAAAATTTATGCAACAAGATCAAATCATTAAAAAATATATTTTTATTTTAAAATGAGATTATTTTTCCTTACAATAACTTTAAATTTGGTTGTTTTGGGAAAGTAATGAAATAAAAAAAATTATTCTGAATTTTTTAGGTAAATAATTGAATTTTCTGATCAAAGAAACTCTTTTCTTTCAATACCAATCAATTTAATTCTATCTTAGATGTTATACTTTTGGAGGTGAATAGAAACGTTTTTTTCCACAAATTTTCTTTTTCTGAGAAATTTTGGACGTGATTTTAGGCAACACTACAGGTCGTTGTTTACTTAAATAGGTGTAAAATTAGATATTATCATATGTGTGATTTTATTTGATTCTAGAAAGTTAAACTTAATGAAAGGAAATGGCTGAATTTGAGTTTAATTCCAATAAATAATTTAAAAAGTTGACTCTTTCCAAACTTAATCAGCGATTTTGTTTTTATTTGATTTTTTGTTTTTGTTCATTTTCAAATATTAAAAATATAATTAAGTTCATTTTTATTGCAAGAAGTAACGATTTTCTTTGATTTTAATTTTATGAGCTATTTTCTTTCTATTTTTTTTTTTTACTGAAATTGGTTTTTCCATCGTCTGATTGCAGTCAACGCCATCAATTTCCGTGGTGGACCCGGCCACCCTGATGGCGAACCCGATGAAGCGAATGTCCGAGTCGGGCGGCGACCGCTTCCTGCCGCACCACCAGAAGCCGCACCACTCGCAACACCAGCAACACCACCACCACCAGCAGCAGTCGCAGGACAGCAAGAACAACAAGGGCGGCAAGGGGACGCGGCCGAAGCGCGGCAAGTACCGCAACTACGACCGCGACAGTCTGATCGAGGCCGTCCGGGCCGTCCAGCGGGGCGAGATGAGCGTCCATCGGGCCGGCTCCTACTACGGGGTGCCCCATTCAACCCTCGAGTACAAAGTCAAGGAGCGCCACCTGATGCGGCCGCGCAAGAGAGACCTCAACAAGGCGGCCGCCGCCTCCACGGGGGGCCTCGTCGACGACAAGCCCAAAATCGGGCCCCCGCGGGGGCCCATGCCCAAACCACCCCCGGGGGCCCCCGGGTCCCCCTTCCCCAACCTGGCCGCCATGGCCGGTTTGGCCAACGGCCTCGGCGGAAAGGGCCTGTTCGGGCCCGGACCGCCCCCGCTCGCCGCCTCCGCCGGCCCCTACCACCAGTTCTGGCCGGGGGCGGCCAACCCCTTCATGATCAACCCCGAGCTGTACCAGGAGCAGCTGTTGGCCTCGCACATGATGCAGCAGCGAAAGGCCGACCCGGTGGCCGACCGCTTCTTCGACGGCCTCATCCGCAACTCCCTGGAGCGGCCGTCGGCCTCTGGCGAGGCCGCCGGCCTCGCCAACCGCGCCCTGCTGGAGCAGTTGTGTCGAGGGCGGCCGGCGGCCAGTGCGGCGGCCGGAGAGCAGACCGTCGTGGACCTCTCGCAAGAGGACGAGCGGCCGACGGTCGACTCGGAAGACGAGGCGGCCATGGAGGCCGAGGAATGTGATAAGCCGGCGGCCGACGAGGCCGAGGACGAGCAGGGGACCAGCAGCAGCGCGAGGAGGAATTCTACCGACTGACCGACTGACTACGATAATTAGTTAAATTGCAGAAAAACAAACAAAAATGCGAAAACGTTGAATCAAGTTTGATAGCAAATTAAATTAATATCTCTCTCAGATGGACTGTAGTAGCTCGCAGATCAATCAATTTATCATGTAATTATTTTGTGGTGGTATTTTTACAAATTATTTTCTATCTTGACAATCTACATTATTGCCAAAGTCTATTTGAAACTGATTTACATACTACATCTCCGACACTCACACGCGTATGTAAGTTCTTGTGTGTTCACGCAGCAGAGTTCAAAACCAGAAAACATCACAAAACGAGGACTCAAATTTGATTGAAATTCAAATCTATATCAAAATGTAACCATATTAAAGTATGAAAATGAAAATTTTGTCAATAATGTATCATATTAGTGGAAATTTTATTGTTTTCAAAATTTATTTATTTATTTCCATTTAATTTTATGTCTCTGGATTCAAATATGAAGTCTTCTGATTCATTGAAGTTTTCTGGATAAACTCTTGGTGAAAACAAACACACACTCGTTTTACCAGCAGTAGGAGGCGGGGGCGGGCCAGTGCCGCCCCCGGGCGCATCAATGTCCAAATGCACATTTAATTAAACTCTATAATATACGATGTCTGTGATTTTCTGAATAATCTCTCGCGGTTTAGACAAATTGAGCAGTGGATTCCGTTTTTCATTGAAGTGCAATTATTGCCAGTGCCGGACTGCGACGAAGAAGTGCGGCCGCCGGAATCATCTCCTTTCGATGCGTCAGTGCGATGGACACTTTTTTTGCCCGCACGGAGATTTTTCACGCGTGTCTATATCGATGTTGAGAGGAAAAACACACATTCATACAAACACACACACATGTACACACTCATTTTATTTTGTATCAACGCGCGCCAAAAGAAAGAACTTTTCTAGTGTTGATGTTTTTTGCCTTTTCCTCCCGTTTTGGTTTTTTAGAAAATAATATTTATTGATATTGACAAACAAAATATTACATCGTTCGGAAGAAAACAAGCGCACTCTTTTCAACCGATTTGTATTTATAATCATATTAACTGTAACACTGTGTGATATTTTGGTGAGGAGGAGGAGGAGGAGAAAGATTCCAAATTTAAATGAATTGAGAAGACTGTTGCAACGGAATTGAGAAAATTTGTGATTGGATACGATGCACTCGGAAATTCTAGATTGGGTTCTGCTTCACGGAAATGCCTTTTTGATAATCTTCAGCTTTGTGAGCTGGCCTTCGAAGCGCGTGTGCCCTTTTTGGGGCAGCAGAATTTGTGTCACAATCGGTCGAGAGAAGGCGAAATTCAAATTGGATGGCTAAAATTGATTTACTTTCTGTGAAAAGTCTTTTTAAAATCGCTCTGTTCGAATTTATTGTTTGTGTGGAAAATTTTGTGATCTTAAGGCTGCATTTCGGTAATTTAGAAATTTAAGTGAATCCAAAACGATTTATGTTGGGAAAAAATGGAGCGATTCTTGATTTGTAGTGCCTTTACGAAGCTCGGTTGTCAATTTTGACTGATATCAAAGCTAGCTAATCAAAATTTTTTCGAGTGTGATTTATTTTGGCTTCTTAATGATCTTTTTCGAGTGGGACTTAGTAAGGGCTGTGATACAGATGGGGATGAGTTGCAGGCGTTGCGAAAGGTTTTAGTGAGGTATAGTGAAAGTAAAAAAAAAAGATTTGTTACACATAAACACACACACATACAGTCATAATCACGGAAAATTTAATTAGCTTGACGTTTTTGAATAAAATATAGAAATTGTAAAATCATCTCTCTTCTCTGTACAAAAAAGAACCGATTCAAATTTACGATACAAAAGTCACAAATTATAAATATGGTGTTTTTCTGCGCAATCAAATAATATTTGGAGGATTGAAAAGAGAAATTAAAGATTATTATTATTATAAATGTATATCAAAAAACAACACATACACACGCAGATTAGTTAGGACACGAGATGCATTAAATACGTTTTTCACTCTCCGAACAAAAATGGAAATATATTTACTGATGGATATGACTTTTTAAAAATGCTCTGAAACTCTAAAAAAGGCGAAAAATACATATTTTACACACTGAATAATGAATGTGCATTCTTACGATTAGTTGGATCAGCAGTACGTTGTAATAGGTAAAATCACACAGACTCATAAACACAAATGCAATTAATTAATTAGTTAATTGCTACGATATACATACATAATATATTGCCAGTGTATTTTTGTTTAATTTTCCCTGTACATACCGTCGCATTTTGTACTTCTATTATTTGTTTCTCGTGAAACTTTGTGTTTGCCGCCGGTTAGCTTTCGTTTAGCGGGAAAATAACGCGGCAAGCTCCACTAATTTCGACTTTCGCTGTATAATTTTTAATTTTAACGACACCAAAAGGGACCGCGGCGTTCCGACTTTCCCGAAATGAGATAATTTTTTTCCAAATTTTTGGCACTCCGCGGTACCCCTGGAAATTTACACATTCCTCGCTGAATCCGCGCCAAGAGAGCCTTTCTTTCTACATTTGCACGCGGACTTGGTTACTTTTGTAATTATTCACTTACATAATATGCATTAAATTTGATCGGAAATTAATTATATACAATAAAAATTGAACGGTGCACATAGTCAGTCATCGAATTATCTTAATCATTCTTTTATAGAGCTAAATATAAAATCCCTATGGAACCTTTTTTCTTTAATTTTCCATTCTGAAGCAAAATTTAATAACAGAAATATTGGCATTTTGAACATCAAAAATCAACTCCAATCTTGAAAATTTTTAATTTTTTCAGGAACTATTTTAGCCAGTTGGCCTGACAAATTAAAATAGTATTTTTAGCAATTACAAAATTTTTAATTCTTAAATAAAACTTATAGCCAAAGTTAGCACGGTAAAAACTATAACTTTTGATTTATAAATATTTTTTTTAATTCAGAATTTGCTTTTGTTTTTCCGTCGGAGTAAATTAATAATTTTCAATTTGTTTATTTCGGTGACTGACTATTTCTTCCGTTCAAATTCCAGAAACAGGCGAGACAATCTGCGTTCATTAATCGCAGATCCACTTGTTCAAATTCCGATTACACGCGCGCGCTGATGTCTGTAACAAAAATACTACTATTATACTGAAGAATGGAAATGTATGAAAATAACAATCAAATTAACATTCACTGCCGTTTATCTCCTAAGTATATATAATTTTTAATTGTGAATATATTACGACGCAACGTGACAAATTATACTCGAGAGGTCCTTTTTGTAAGAGTTCACTCGCACACCCTCATCACACACACACACACGTGGATCGCGCATTAATTGTATAATCAATCACCCTCGGAGCTAAACTGCAACTGAGATGGACACTGATTTATATATAATATACACCCACACGAACAACAACAATCTTTTTCCCTAAAAAAGCGAGAGTAGAATATTATCGAGAGAAATCGAAACAATAAAACATAAAACTGCTGACGATGAGAAAAATAATTAATTTAAATTACATAAAACGAGACATTTGCGAAATAATTAATAATTATTAAACATAATAGGTGCTGTGAGAAGTGAAGACGAGAGAAACAACAATGTAGTGATTTATGATTTTTACTTCCGCTTTTGCTTTGCACCCGCAATTGGATAATCACGAAACAAAAATTAAACAAAAAAGCGCCGCGTCCGGGATGGGAAATTCAATTAAGAAATTCATTAATTATTTGTATAAAAAGCGAACACTCCCTGCATGCACTATACTCTCATCACAATATTATGTAAAAAAAAAAAATACAACATTCATCTTGAGATTGGCAATTTCATTTTTTCAGCTAAAGAAAGTTACAAATCTAACAAGACTGTATTTTAAAATTTTTAAATCTATATATGAATTAGAGATCGATCGATATTGTAGTTCAATTGAAGCAGCAAGTGTATTTTTGATAAATTTTTCCATTCGCTGAAATTGGTACAGGAAATATAGCGAAAAATTAGAAAGAAAGAAATCCCGCCACGGACGCGGCGCCCAAATCGACAAATTATAACGCGGCGCTGTGCCTTGAGAAAATTATTCGTTTTAGTGCCAACGGGAACAAGATATTGAAATTTTTTACGCAAATGAAAATTGAAAAATCATTCATTCCATGCTTTGCATTTAATTTTTTTCGGAGAGAGAGAAAGAAAGAGAGAAACAATAATCATTCTTTAAGCGGTTATTTATATTAAAAGATTTTGGACGAAAGCACACATTTTCAGTCGAAGTTGCGTAGAATCTTTTTCGAGCAGACGAGAACATATCAAAAAAGGAGAATTGTTATGATTTGCACGCGGGAAGAAACAAAAAGCAAATATATAGATATATTTATTCGATCTTGAACTATTTTTTTGTTTTGTAACTCTCTAGTCTAAACAAACACTTTCGCGCTCACACTCGGATTCGATCTTTTCACTTAATATCGGTAATCCGAGCAAGTCTAAAAAAATCGAGTCTGAGCTGTTTTTGCGCCGACTTTTTGTTAGCTTTTGACTTTTCCCGATGATCTTCTTGATTTGCCAAATTTTTTTGCGACTGATGCTAATATAAGATCGTGAATGGCTGGCTTGGGCGGGGCTCTGCAAATTTAAAACTGAAATCGAGCAAGACTGACTGAAAAAAAACATGCATACAAACATTAACTGTATAGAATTTTGCACGGCCAGCTGGCGAACTTTTGTTCTGTTTTGTGTGAAAAGAAGAATAAAAAATCGAGCGAAGATCATTCCTTGCTTTTTCGGGAATCGGTGTATTTAGAAATTACAATTGTCAACACTTACGTTGTGTACACTGAAAGAGAGAGAGAAAGAGAGAAGTTGGGACACGTTTTATGAGAGTAACAATCTCGTTCACACTCGATGTGGCCGAAGGAGAGAATGAGAGTATAAAATAACGTGAAAATTCAATGTGTTTTTCCATCAAAGGTGATTTTGGTGTTTTTCGGAGATAAAATAAAATAAATGATGAAAGTGTCTTTGTTTAGGGAAATTACAGTTTATTCAATATAATCAATGTTCATGTGAATTATATACATTATTATTACTGTGACTGATCATTTTAAATTTGTAGAATGCATTCATGATTATAAAACATATAATAAAAATCAAAATTTTAGTATTTTCATTGAATATCAACAAACCTAAACAAAACGTACTTATGAAGATTTGAATTTAAACCCCTCAAGAAGAAGCCGATTTATTTTAAAATTCAAATCCCCATGAATCAACCGTCAATCATGAAATTCTACCATTTGTGCACAAAACGTAAAACAAAGTTTTTATTTAGTTTTATTGATTCTTATTTTACAGTTAAAACCAGGACTGAATTGTAAATTATTAGACTGCTAAAAAGAGTGCCTGCGAAAATTTTCTGCAAATTCGCCAGATGACATTTATTTTTCGTTTTGTCACCCTCCGATTGTTTTTGGCCAGAACGCCACGTGCTGCTGTCCTGTTCCATTCGGCGGCGCCAACGTCGGGCGAGAGCCGCTCGCTTTGATAGACTTTTATGGGAATGCAATATTTTTTTTGAACGCGTTTAATTTAAGTATTCTCATTATTCACAACTTCAGCCTTGATAAATAATAATTAAGTCATCAGTCATGTCAGGTTTTTTTTTAATAATTATGCATGTTGACTTACTAGTAGTTTTCGCGTGAATTTTGGTTCAGTCCTTTTAAAAAATAGAGAAATTTTTTAATATAAACCTGTATAAACCTTGAAAGAAAATTGTTGCAAATAAAATTTTCTAAAATTTCTTTAAATGCCTGATACCGTCGGAATTTTTTTACCCTACAACACTAAGGTTCAAATTTCATCAAAAAAGATTGAGGCATTTTGAAGTTGCGGCTTTCTTTTGCATGAGCTCTCTGATGCCTCCCTTGTCTTTAAAAGCAGTTTGAGGTGCCATTACACATTTTTTCTCATTTTGAAACGCCTCAATTTTTTTAATTAAATCTGAATCTTTGGGTCAAAATTAAATTTTCAATCGATTGGCTATGACGATAAAATTAAAAAAATTATTCTCTAATAAAAAATTAATTATCTTGACTTTGAACCCGTGTGTATGTCAGTAAAAAAAAATTATGATGCCATCAAGTTGATGAATGAAATTGTAGGAAATTTAATTGGCACTATTGGCAACATTTTTTTTTTTAGAGTTTCCATTTTTTAAAAAATCTCTTTTTTTTTTGGATATGATGGAACGAAATTCTCGAGGAAATTCTAATAACTCCGACTCCGCTTATTGAAACTAGCAACTATAGCAGGCTGGTTGAGAGTAAAGTCCGCGTCTCCGCGAGCCGGTCAAGCGCATGTTCAAACTTGAAATACTCAGCCAGTGACGTCGCACTGCGTCGCACAATCGCCGTCTCCCGCCAGGCAATACCCTTTTCCAAACTTACTCGCGCCAAAGGCTTGTGAATTCGCTTTTCGCTCTATTTCTTATAGCGCCCCACGCAGTCGTGCCAACTCTCACCAAAAATATTTCGCAGAATTTTTTTAATGAAATTCATTACTGGAGAGGGCCTTTAACGCAAATAAGAGAGTAAAATTTCATTTCAAAAAAGTGCGAAACCAAAGAGTTTTTGTTTAATGCTATGATCTTGTGGCGGCCTTATAGTTTCCAAAGTTCTTAAGTTGGCACTCCTGCCAGCCACCGTCTTTGCCCCCCAAATTGTTGCTACGCGATTTTTGTCAACAAACGTCGAAGTTGAAGCGAATCTTCAGCGTTATTTTCCATCCCCTTCGTTCGCTCTACGAATTCTGATTTTCCCAAAGTAAGTTACCTTTAAGAATAAAATTACCTTAAAAATTTTATGTAATTTTTACGATAAAAGAACTTTTTATCAAATTGAAATTTCGATTTGGAAAAAGGCTGTTCAAAGAATGCTCAAAGAATTTTTGAAAACATTGAAATTTATCAAAATATTGACTTTTTTTATTGCCTCTTTTATGTAGCTCTCTAACTTTGATTTTTTTTTCCAGATGGTGCAGCACAGTTTTCTGGTCAAATCTACCCTCAACATCCGAAGACTTTCTTCCTATGGAGAGTTCAACAGCACTTCATGGTTCGACCGAGAGAAGGACAACAACAAGATCATCCTCCCGATGCAGCTCAAAGTCAAGGTAGAAACTGCAATGAACATCTACGGAGTGCAGAGGAGTTCTCTGGTGCTACGATTGAAAGACAAGAACGGCGACACCCGAACATTCGTCGGTCTTCTTGCATTCAATGATGGAGTCAGGCCGACCGACGTAGCAGTTCCAGACTGGGTCTGCATCGAAAGTCTGCCCGGCTTCGAGCAAGTCACCTGCCACATGCTTCTGCAGCGTCCTCCCATTGCAGCCTCTCTCAGCTTCCGAACCCAGTCTCAAGATCCCATTGAGGAGGTGAAAGAGGCCCTGATGACCAGACTGCGAGGTGTGTTTTGCCTCACAAAGAGCCAGCCCATCTTCTTCGACGTCAACGGCCACGACACATGCAGTGGCTGTGCTGAGAGGCATGGTGCCCAACCGTGTGACCAATCGTCTTCTCCATGGACAAAATGGGCCAACTTGCCTCGTGAAAGTTCGTCGAGATGCGATGAAGTTTATAGTTGCATTATTTACTTAATTAACTACCACTTGAATATTTTTCGTTTTGTAAAATGTCGAGGTTATAATAAAAAGACAAATTTTTTTTTGCTAAAAGATCATAAATACTTCAAAACAACGATTATTAATTTCAATTATCACCAAAATTTTTCTTAAATAAATTTCTTGGAGCCCATGATTCATCTTTATTACTAATTTTCATACCAAATTTAATCTATTTTATGTACCAACCAGAAAATAAATTAGAAAGGTCTTAATTTAATAAAAGAAGGCATACCAGAATAAAAAAAATGTTTAAATACCTCTTATTAAACAATTTAGGTTTACAAGTTATGAGAAATATGAAACATAAATGAAAGAAATAATATCCATGGATATTATGCACATGATTGACGTAAAATCCGTGTAAACATTTAAATTCTAATAAATGGTTCAATTAATTTAGAATGAACAACATATAAGCACATTCACAAAGGAGGTTTTTTGATAAATTAATAAATATTGGAACTTGACAAGACGCATTAAATTTATGTATAAAGACAAGATTGTACTTGCACAGTTAAAGTATGATGGACAAACAAAGCAGATTCCTGTCCACAGCAGGTTCATGGCCTTTGGGAAAAATATCTTGATTGTTTGGTCTTCCTTTTCTGGACATCTAATTCATATTGGTCATTCCAAACGCTTGAGTTCACTGTAAGAGAAAAAAATCAAAATAAACATTGAGCTGATTGATATTTAATTTAAACTAAAAATTTAAAAAAGCTAGGGCTTACTCAAGATGTGCTCTTTGCTTTGCCAGTTTGAAGTTGACCAAATTTGAAGTCCTGATGGCAACGAATGAAATTCAGGGTGGACACCTGCTCTCTGGCCGTCGACCATCCTTCAAAGTGAAAATGGTAAAAAATGCCACACTAAAAGAAAAACATTCAATTGAAATTTTCAATTTATTTGCATAAATTAAATAAATTGCATACCAATCAGCACCTTGATGGCCAAGATGAGCAATTTTGAGCCTGCGAGCTTCGAAGCAAACTCGGAACAATCAGGTCGAGTACTCGGATAGCCACACTTGGAAGGCCTCGACTGAAAAACAAAATGAACATAATAAGTTTAATAATTTACAAATTATGTGTATGAAGAAGAGAGAGAGCGAGTGCACTTAAAATGAGGCAAAGCAACAAAATTAAACATGCGTGCATCAAAATTATCTAAGAACTGTTTGCCGGATTTGTATTACATATTTTCTCAAAACCTCCTTCGGATAATAATTTTAAAACAAGGGGCCAAAGCGCAGGTATACATCCTACCCTTTCAAAAATAAAACATTCTCAAAATTTAATCTCAATTTTCAAATATAATAAATAGAACACACGGGGGTTATGAATGAGTGTTGGGACTTGATACTTTCCGTCGAGGAAAAGGATGATTGGAGTGTAGCTGTAACTGGCGGCAGTTATCAGCTCCAAACAATTCAGGCGGGTGCAGGAAAGAGTTAAATAAGCCCAAAAACGTTCACTTACTCGACTAATAAGGGTTTTGGCCAAAGGAGACAGACTTGGAAGGGCCGCGTCAGCCTCCGAACATCGACACTACAGTACGTTTTGTCTTTTTCTTTGCACAAAAACGGCGATTATTCGGTGCTCTCCTTGATGAATTCGTTCACCGGGGCTTCCAGACTACGCTAGAATGAATTTCAAGAAAAAACCCCAGTCGTGCGAGGGCCGGTTTCTACCGCAGAAATGTTGTTTTGTTGTTATTGTTGTTCTTTGTTTGGGTCCAGCCGGTTCAGCTGTCCGACAAGTGGCGAAGCTTTTGATTGGTTGTGACGTCATGACACAGGTCACGTGACATGCCCAAATATCCTGAGCGGGAAACACCTTTGCTGAAGTCGGCCGAGGGCCGCAGAGGATTTCGTGTTGAGAAGGGTGCACTTTGCATCCAAGTTGTATGTAAAAATATTTAATACAAAAATCCTTTTGAAAAATCTAATTTAATCATATTTATAATTTATTTATTAATAATAACAAAAATGCAATTATTTAACATTTATTGCATGCAGCACAAAAAATTTAAAACAAACACAAAAAATTTTAATATAAAATTCAGTTAAACTCCTATTGACACCTAAAATATCAAAATTTGACCTCCCCCAACCCCAAAATTAATCCAAATCCTTTCTTAATTTTTTTCTCTCTCATTTTTTTAGTGTTCAGCTTTGTTCATCATCGTCGCGTGGACCATCATACATGCCAGCAATATTATTTTTTAATAAAGTTGAACCCTCTTTGGCACCACTTATATATAAAGGGCACAGGCTGACAAGACTTTGTCTTGGCCTGACCCTTAAAAAGTAAAAATAAAATTAGATTAATAACATAATAACTCTTTAATTTTGTCTATATAAGGTTTTAATATATTTATATTAAATTTTTTCCATTCTATAAATTGCAAGATTGATTTCTCCTGCAGGGTTAAATAACCTATACCAACTGGCGTTTTTTAATGTGAAGCAATTCCGAAAACGACAAGGGCTTCATTACGTGCAAGGCCACTGCCTACATCTTTAATGCCAAGATATTCATTAAGACGAATGTTACACGCGTGCTCCGAAGCCCTGTAACACAAGAATAAGTGGCAGTTATGCAACAATTTCTACATCCAAGACGAGCAAGTTGCATAGACGGATCTTGAAAATGCTAGAAACTGATGATAAATTTCAAAGTTTAATATAAAAAATCATTCAAATAAATTTTTTTTGAAGAATCCGTAATCATAAATCATAACAATAAAATTTGAAAATAAAAACGTGAAAATTAGAACTGTGAAAATAAAACCATAGCACGAGGAAAGTTTTCCTTTAATGGTGTTGAAAAATAAATCCAAAATTAAACATACAAACAAAGATTATTCTTTGTCCCCTGTGCTACTGCGGGGTGTGAGGACATCAGTGCTTATTACTCGTGATTAGAGGAGAGAAGCCGCGCAAGTGTCCCGTCGCGGGGTTAGGTAGAGTCGATAGTCGGGGCGAGCCACAGTTTTTTCCGGACAAGCGGTCGAGAATGGTGCGACTGTTGCGGGCTGTGGTGCTGCTGGTGGCGGCCTTCGGTGGCCTCGTTGCCGCCGACATCGTGTGTCCCATCGAGGAAGAGGTGGGCGACGTTGACGCCGTGGTGGTCGCGCTCATCGACGTCCACGGCGGCGACTCCTGCGACCAGGTCAAGTTGCAATCGCTGCAGAAAATCGCCGCCGCCAAGCAGATGGCTGAGAAGGTCTCGCAAAATGCACCTATCAGTATTGGTTCGTATTTTCCACTTAAATTCCTATAATTATTTTAAAATAAATTTACTATTTAGGTTGTTAATCTAAAAATACCTTGAAATTGGTTGTGAAAAAAAATGTAAACACAGGACTAAAAATATTCCATTAATTCTTCTATATTTTTTTATTTATATTAAAAAGTAAAAGTTTAGAGACTTCAAACAATATTTATTTTAAGATAAACAATAAATTGTAAATTCAATTCATATTTAACGCCTTCTTCAAATAATTTATATTTCTCTTAAAAATTTTCATTTTCCGAAAACTTGATTTTTTTATAATTTTTGATTATAATTAAAAGAATAATGGTACTACTATGTATCTAATGAAAATTTCATCTTAAAAATAAAATTAAAATTTTAAACACAGGACTGACAAAAAATGATAATTGGTTAATAAAATACGACTTTAAACACATTTTACTGAATAAGATTTAAATTTTATGTAAATTGAAAACATAAAATTTCAAAGGTGTGCATGTGATGGACACGTGCGGCAACAAAAAGAAAGCAGTGAAACTGGCTTTCAAGTCCATGGTCTACACGGACTCAACAATTTGCAAGAAACCACCCATGTTACTCGGTAAGCAAATTAAATTTAATCCTATAATGTTAAGCCCATTTCTGTCGGATTACTCTTGACTCTTGAGAGATATCTACAAAAAATAAAAACTGAAAATACTTCTGGATGGAAAAAAAACACTTTTTTACTAGGCTAACTATAATTTTCAATAATTTTATCTTACCTAAGTGATTTTTTATAATTTTATTTTGGCCGAGCATAATTTAAAAAATTAGAAGATGATCAAATTGTGGTTGAATTTGAATTGAATTGCAGGGTATTTGGGTCCCGACGAGATGGAGGTTTTTGAGGCGGTCAACGCCGTCACTGGCGTTTACAAGTACATCCACATCAACCCCGTCGCTCTGGCAGACACCAACAACCCTTACTACATAACCAAGATGGGTCAGCTGCAGACCGTTAAGGTGAAGAGAAAAAAAAATGGAAATATATATTTCAAAGGGAAACCTTAGAGAGCGAAAATGCATGGCAGATTACGAGATGTTCTCGGTGGGAAGAGAAATGAGCTTTCGCTTGTTGTTCTCGATTAATTTTCATCCACTCTGCAAAAGAATTTGAACGGGCGCGTGGCACTTGGTGGACTTCGGTTGAAAGCACATTACATTACGCCGGGGTGAAACCACTTTAAACACGTAACCTTTTATTCTAGGAACGGTTGACAATTTGAAAAGTTCAATATTTTTAAGACGAGAAAATTAATTAATTTAAAATTCTTTTAATTGCAAATTTCCAAACTTTTTTAGTACATACATATATTAGTATATTTTGAGACCTATCAAGAATGTAGTTAAATTGTAATCCGTTTTCCTATTTTTAGTTTTCATTTAGAAAGAAGTTGAAATTAGCTCTTTGGAATCATTAAATACTTGAATTCGTATATCTTTAATTTCCCACCAATTAACTTTCCTTTTCACATTGGTTCATTTTTTAGTTCAATTAATTTTACTATGATAAATTATTCATTTCCACAATTATTTTGATTCCTGATCAGACACTTTCGATTACCCTGCGTCACCTGCGTTGGTCCACCTTTTCCCTGCTGCACTCGGAGGACGTCGAGTCTTCGCAATTGGCCTCAACCCTGAGCTCGACGCCCGGCCTCTGCGTGCAGAGCGTGCGTCAAATATTCAGTCCCATGAGGGCGGCCCAGCCGTCGGCCCTATCAGACCTGCCGACCCGCGGCGTTCTGGTCGTCGGCCCTCCGGCCCAACTCATAGAGGTCGTCCAGGCCAACAACAAGCTTGACTCGCCGCACATCCTTTTACTGGTGGCACTTGAAGCCGGCGTCCTGCCACCGCTCACCCTCATTGACAACCTCGCCGAAACAGCCCTCGTCCTCCAGCTCGCACCCAACAGACCTCTGGACAAACTGCAGTACCAGCTGGAAAAGTAAAAGCATTTAAAATTTACTTTTTGTTAGCAAAACAAATTAACCATTAATTTTAATTTTATAGTTAATTAAGTTAATTTAATTAATTTATAATTCAAATAATTCAATTTTGGTTTGTCCTTAAAAATATTTATCGAAATTATAAAAATTTAACAAAACACAAGTCAAGCATCTTATAAAACTGGTAAAAATTAATTTTTCCATTTTTATTAATTTTATTTTAAAGTTTATTTATATTTTATTGTAAAAGAATAGAGATGAAGTCAACAAGTAAGGGAAACCTTAATCAACCTTAACATATAGTCACGTTTTGTGTGTATTAACTTTTCCATTAGAAAGTTTGAAAAATTATGAAATATTCAATAGTTCTAAGTTACAATGTGAAGATTGATTTAAAAAAATCTACTCAGGTCCGATTTGTGGGACGAGTACCTTCACCAGCAGCGTTGCAACTTCTCCACCTGCTCGAACACGGCGTCCGACGTGCCAGAGCTGGCGGCCACAGTACAGGACGTGGCCGCAACGGCCACTGCCGAGGCGGTGGCCGCCTTCGCTCGGGCCCTGCGCGGTGCCCACAGATCCAAGTGCAGCGGAATTCAGGGTAATTGCCACGAACTGGAGACAACCTTGCCAGACGAATGGCGCAGCAGGGTCGGGGCCCAGCTGGGCGCTCAGACGTCCCTGCCGCCGCACTTTGAAACCTACCTCAAAAAGGCCTACTCGAATGGACTCCAAAGGGTGACTAACTACACCGGAATTAACTTCCCAGATTCAAGGTTTGACTGATTTTCACAATTTAAAAAATTAAATTTCATTTAAATCACATATATGTTAAAAATTGATGTAATTGTACAAATATTAATTGAGGAATGATTTCTCTTATCTATAGTTTTGTTTTAAAACTTTTTATTAAACTGAATTCTAAAATTTGTTTTTTTTTGCCTAAAAACTCAATTCAATATATAATTTATTCCTGTTCTCCAGGAGTGATGATTGTCACCGTGAAGCAGGAAATGTACCGTATTACCCGGTCACCAAAAGAACCACAACCACCACGCCAGCACCTTATTTCCACGATGACTTCGACTACCACTCGCCAGAAGAAGAGTCGCCCGTTTACAACGTCAAGACCACAAAATCTCCACGGAAGCAGAAAGAATTTGTATGGCGATTCAAAAACTTTTTTCTCAAACTTTTCAACGCTTATTGAATTTTGACTAGATTCCCAATGAGGACGAGATTGACTATGACGAGGTAGTTTTTTTGCCCATTTTTTTTAGCAACCGTGTTCTATTTAGCGATAGTTTCATGGTGTCAGTCCAAACACGTCTGGCGTCTGGGTATTGCACCCCTGTTAATTATTAGTTAGACTTCAACGCTCGACGCTCCTGCCGTGCCGGTTGCCTGCTTGAAGAATCTGCAGGCGCGAATGGTTAAAACTGTAGATTCAATGAGTATAGGCAAACTGCTGTGGAAGTTCTAGATTTCTGGTTCCAGCATAAGCGTTCCAAAATTAGAGCATGCGGGTGTAAATTTAACTAAAATGTGTTGAGATATATTTCAGAATTGAGAAACAAAAGTAGAACATTTTGTTCAGTTTTTACGATTTTCAAATTTTTTACAGATCAATTCCCCCCTTTATCATAGAACATTTTTGTAACCACGAAGAAAACAAAGTTTCAGATAGGATTCTTTGTTTATATTTTTTCAATGGTAAGAACAATTTTCCTTTTTTTTATCGTCATTACAAACATAAATCGTCAGTTTTGGTCGGTACATAATTATTTGTAGTGTATATTACGACGTATAATTCTTCTTATTCAAAGTTTACATGACGAATATTTTATTTATTATTATATCCTATTTGCGTTATTCTCTGTTCGTTTTTGTCAATGTATGTGTTCCATGACAATGCTTAAAACGTGATGTTTGTAACCGTGAATAGAACATTTTTTTCATTGGGCTTTATCAAAACCTCCGATTTCATTTCTCTATATGTCAATTTTCACCAATCTTCTTTTCCACTGTAGGCATTACATTTTTTCTTTTCAAAAACTTTGCAGGGGAGAAACAAACAGTGGCGCTTGTTTGACGTTAACCAGTTGAACACCGTCGAGTTCTACTGCGCCATGGCTGGCTTCTCCTGTGCTGTCGGCATCGTCCTCTGCTCGCTGATCTACTGCGTTGCGGCACATTTCAGAGTCAAGAAAGACGACAGCAATGCCAGAGACAGAAGATCTATTGATTCAGGTGTTGGAGGTCGCAGATATTCCCAGGACAGCGTTTAAAAAAAATCATTCCAATTTAAGTGAACGTTCTTTTAATAATAAAGTATTTATCCATAATTGCTGACTTTTGTTAAAAAAGCCAAAGGGCGTGACCTTGTTATAATGCTATAATGAAAGTGGGTCAGTTTTAAATCAGACTCGGACTTTCTCGAGTTGTCCTACTCGTTAGTTGCTCATCTTTATTGGCGTTAAAATATCGCAGTAAAGGCGGCCACATAAGTGCATTGTTTTTACGCGAAACATTAAAATCGTTCATTAGTTTAAATATTTTGTACCCCCTACAAAATTTTTTCTCACTGTCCGTTAGTAACATTATAGACGATAAGGTGAAACATTTTCAGCCTACTTTAACATAGGATGGCGATACACATATGCCTCTTATTGAAAGAATGAAGATTTTTTTTGTATATTACTTTTGAGCCAGAGGCGTGCAAGTTACTTTTGATTAAACTGGCTGGCGTCAATCAGGTTTCAGTGAACTCAGGTAGACAGAATTGAATTATTGCTAACAATAGAAGAATTTGTTATTTTTTGTTTTGTTTATCAGACTCGTTGCTGATCGACTAGGCTCTAGAGAAAAAGTATTTTTTCCATCAAGATTAACAAGAATTTCCCCAAATGCACCGAAAACAAGACTGAGTAATGAAGAGAAGAGTCGGTACGTTTTAAAATGGAATTGCGAAGAAAGGCAAGTGCTAGGTGAGTGTCACTGGCTTAATTCTTCACGCAGACGGCATCACCTTCAGCCTCTCGAAAGCTGCCCTTTCCAGGGTCTCGCGGTGGTCAGGGTGCGCCACGTTAATCAGGGCGTGCGCACGCTGACGCAGGTTGCGTCCGAACAGGTGGGCGATGCCATGCTCAGTTACGACGTAATGCACATGGGCACGGGTGGTCACAACACCAGCGCCTGAAATAATTAAAAAATTAGTGAATTGCAAGAATTACATACAAATTGAGGTTGATAAAAATAAAAACAGAGTTCAATTTCCAGTTTTGAAATTATTAAACAAATTGTTTATAGAATATTTTGATATGAACTAAGAATAAGACTGACCTTCTTTGATGACTGGGCTGATTTTGCTCTCACCGCGCACAGTCACAGAAGGAAGAGCAATGATTGGTTTGCCACGTCCATCCAGACCTTCAGCTGCACCTCTGATAAAGTCAACCTGACCTCCAAAACCTGCAGAGAGAAAAAGGAAGATTCAAATTATTGTTGCAATTCAAAAATACTTTCAAAACTTCTGTTTTTAATATTTCTACTTACCAGAGTACATTCTGGTGCCAATAGAGTCGGACACAATCTGTCCAGTAAGATCAACCTCAATGCAAGAGTTGATGGCAGTCATGATAGGGTTCTGGGCAATGACAGAAGTGCTGTTGACATAGTCAACATTCATCATGGCTAAATAAACAAAAAATTAATATCATATATTATTATTTCTTTTGAATAAAATTACAAATGAAAGGATTGTTGTCGACAAAGTCGTAAAGCTTTTGTCCTCCGATGAGGAAGCTGCCGATGATCTTGCCCTTGTTGATTGTCTTCTTGTTGTTGGTGATGCAGCCCTTGGCAACCAGGTCAACAACACCGTCGGCGAACATCTCAGAGTGGATGCCCAGGTCCTTGTGGTTGTGCAGTTGGGAGAGCACAGAGTCGGGGATGCTGCCGATGCCCATCTGCAGGGTGGCGCCGTCCTCAACCAAGTTCTCGGCAACCAGTTTGCCGATCATGGCCTCGACAGCGGTCGGGGGCTTGCCTGCATGGTCAGGCAGAGGAACGTCCACCTTGACGGCGGCGTCAAAGTGCGAGGAGTGGATTGTGGCGTCTCCAAAGGTACGGGGCATGCGAGGGTTCACCTGAGCTGAAATTGAAATTAAAAATTTATTGATACATGTGGAAAATTTGATTAAAATGAAAAGTTAATTAATCAGTTTTAAAAAGGTACATAATGATATTTGAATAAATTTTGCTATCATGCAATTGATTTTTTTTAAGACTTCATTAATATCATTATAGAAGTAATGATGATGTTGATTCTAAGCTAATCATGGTTTCCAGATTTTGGCCTTTGTCCCCAATTAAACAAGCTATTGATAAGATTTGAGGATATTTGTCTAATCTCTTGATGCCAATAGAATAACAATATTAAAATGAATAAAAAAATGTCTGTCTGTTATTGCCATTGCTAGATTTTTTATTAAATTTAGCTACTAATTCTGTTTTATTTTGTGATATTTTTTTCCTTTCATAATAGAAAAATTGAAAAAATTTTTTAATAATTTTAAATGGAAAAAGGATCATTCATAAATATGCAGTGCTATTTTTTCAAGTTGGCAATGCTTGAGCAAGAAAATGATTTTGTTTGCTATGCAAATATGCACTGAGCCGTTCGCTTCCTGGAATCAAACCTGTTTGTTTTGCTGAGAGTGAAATTAAAAGTGTCAATGTCACCTTGACAGGACCTTGAAGAGGTGAAATCAAACGCAACAATTAAAATCATTTTAAATTTCAACCATAACCGGTGATTGCCTCAAGAGCGCAAAGAAAATTGGCCGCAGAGCAGCCAGGGCATGGAGCTGCTCCGAATATTAATATATAAAATGAGATAGTGCGTCATTGTGCGCGGTTAAGTACCGTTGAATTGATTGCTTCAGCAGCGAGCCAAAAGTTTGCCCACACCATGAATGAATTACGGCCAAGCATACTTCAGCGTGCCCTCGTTTTGCAGAAAAGTTACAAAATTTTGAACAATTTCCAATTTTTTTTAGTTATTCAATTGATAATTATTTTACCACAATAACAATAAATTATACAATTACGTACCAATGATGAATTTCGAATGGGCCAAGGCAGCCCTGACGCAGTCCACACTAGTGCCCAAACTGCAGTAGCCGTGCTCGTCGATAGGAGAAACCTGTCGGTGCAGAAATTTAAAATAAATAAGCTCATCTTGAAAATAGGTCAAATCTAAAAGTAGCATAAAAACAGCTGAAAAATACTTTTAGAGGAAAAATTTAACAATATATAATAAAAATTATTTTTTAATTAATTTTTATCACTAAGAATGCATTTTAATTAAATTTATATAATTTATGGAGAAAAAGTTTAGATCGGAGAAATTTATTATTATTTTTTCTTTCCTTTTTTGGTACTAACATGAATGAGAGCAACGTCGGGCTTGATGATCTTGCGATGGAAGAGCAGAGGGATCTCCGAGAGGAAGATGGGAATGCAGTCGGAGCGGCCCTCGGCCACAGGTTTGCGCACATTCTTGGCCATGAAGAAGGACGTGCTGCGGAAGATGCCCTCGCAATCAGGGTTGGTGTAGTCGGCGTCACCCTCGGTGTGCATGTGACACACGGTGACCCCCCGCAGGTTGTTCTCCTTGCCGTGCTTGGTCATGGCCTTGACCAGCGCCTGAGGGGTGGCTGCTGCACCCTGGACGAAAACGGTGTGCCCTGGAAAATATTAATCGTTAGAAAAGAATTATACCTCAAAAATTATTTTCAATAATAATCCTTTAAATGGGGAGGAAAATTATTTTGTAATAATTTCCCAACGATTTTATTAAAAAATTCGGTCAGAGGAAAATTCTTGAAGTGCGAATTTTGACAATTTGGACCGTTTCTCGACACCTTTGGTGTGAATTTTTCAATTCTGAGTTGTCCCCGTTTCAAGGGGGTTTGGTAACGAGACTCTAATTGCGCGGTAAACGTCAATTAGCTGTAGAAAAGAGTGTTTGTACCGGATTTGATGAGCTTGACCGCTTCGTCTGCGCTGAGCCACTCGGGTTGCCTGCCCGGGAGGGGCTGGGCCGGCTCTGGGCTGTAGGTGAAGTATGAGGCCCGGCCCGCGAAGGCCCGCCGAGCCAGGAGACTCACTCGCTGCAGGGTCGTTGCCATTTGGGGTCGAATTTTAGTCGAAATTCGGCAGCTCGACAAGTGACAGGCAGCTGATAAGCGAGTGCGCAAGATTGGCAAAGGAGGGATCAGTGGGTCGCGCAGGCCTGCCAACAAAACCAAATTTTCGGCGCCACGAGAAATCGGTAAAACGCTCCCGTGCGGCTCTCAAAATTATATAAAGGCAAATTATTACACAATTTTTTTCAGTTCTCATGGCGATGCAATGAAAATGATTTGAATTACTGTTCTCTTTGGTATTTTTATTAGCAATATAGAAGCCGATAGAACATCATTAGAAAAAAATTAATTTTTTGCTTTAGTAAAAATAATGTCAAAATGCACTTTTGGTCTGGCCCTTGCAAATTGTGACTCTATATGTTATAGTTTATTTTTATGGTATACTTCTTATCACTTCTCATGATAAAAGGGCCTAATTTGCAATTATTCTTTTTAAGCTTATTTGTGTAATTTTATTTTTTAATTATAGTTTCTATTATTTTTTTGCTACTTTACTAATTTATTTAAATTGGAAAATATAGATTGAAATTTTTTTAAATTTTATATTGTATTTTTTATAACTTAAAAAAATAATGCTTATTTTGCATTTTACTTCTTTGATACAAATGGTGCTACAGCACAAATTTATTAACAACTAATTTTACTAATTATTATGTATCCCTTGATCAAATTGCCTGCATTACTGCTGCAGTTGCGCGATGGTACCATCGGGACATGATAAAATATAATATGGTTAATGATGGTTACAATCGTAACAATATTTCATTTTTTGCTATATGCTTCGCACAAAAGTTATAAGATTTATTTAAAAAGATAAAAAAAAACTTAAAAATGGTTTTTACGCCAAAAAAATGAATTTTATTTTATGGATATGTCGCACCTTGTGAGATTTTATTTACAGATGTTACATGAAAACAATATTTTAATAATATCAATGTGTCTTTTACTTAAAATCTAATTATTATCAAATGTACACGCAATTATTACAATATTCACACGATATTCTAATTCAACAATATAGTTCAGAGTAATATATTCAACCTCATATTCTGATATAATTTGCATATTACATGCTCTGCCAACAAAGACATATTATACTCAATTTCAACAAATTTTTAACAGAGAGAGTTTTGATTTGAGCATTTTTAGGTTTTCAGCATCATCGTTTCAACTAAATGTGAAAATTTCAAATTAAATTTTGTCCAAAACTTCTACGTAGGTGGCTGGGAAAATTCCAACCATGCCGTTCATAACTCTCCTAGCCACCATCCATCCTCTTGCTTCTCCCTAATGGTGATCAAGTCACCTATAAAAGCGGAATTTAATTTTTAATTCTTTTTAAATATCTGCCGTACCTGTGGTAAGGTTGAGCTCATCACAGAGATTGGCGGAATAGTCGTAAAGGGCCCTGCACTGGCCCAGATTAGGTAAAATTTCATTATCCTGATCAATCTCGGCGCTTTCCCCAATTACGGGCATCACAACACCAAAGTCCTTTTCGTCGCTGGTTTGACTTGAAAATTCATCTGTGATTTTTTTTTATTTTAATAAAAATTTTATTTTATTATTATCTTTTTTACCAAAGTCACTGTCAGGTTGATTGGAATTGCCATCTCCGGTTCCTCTGTCTGGCCAGTCTGAGCCTTCAATATTTTCTTCCCTCACCCAAGGAGGAACCTAAATTTTTAATTTTTAGAAATAAATTTTATTGCAACATTCAAAATTAATAAATTTGATAAATTTATATAAAAATTAAATACCTTCAAAATGCTCTGCTGGAGACCTTGTCTGTCTCTGGTCACCTGAATGTGTGACGCCAAAGGGTGGCTGCCTCTCCTGTCTCCGTTCAATTCAGCCAGGGTGCTTTGGACCTTGTACCTTGCAGCCTCCAAATACGTCAACATTGATCTCATCTAAAAAAAAAAAACAATAATAAATATTTCAAATACAATTTTTTAAATTTAAACAGTTTTTATAGATTTTGGTAGAACAATTTTTCTGTTCAAAATTATTTCAAATCGGAACAATAATTAACATAATTTTAATGAATTTTGTATAAACTTACGTGGTGGAGTTTGTCGCTGACATTTTGCTGAGAGTCTTCGTTGCCAAACGTCGGCGTCTGCTGCAGCGCCCTGGCCAAGTTTTCGACGCCCTGCTTTGCCCTCCTCTCCCTCTCCAGGTCCTGCCTTATAAGTTGCAGAAGTTTCAGGAGAGCTAACCTCCTGCGGTCCCTGTTCATCGCCAGGGTCACGTGTTCAGGGTAAAAGTCTGGCAAAAGTTGCTCGGGAATGGGTTGTCCGACGCCTTTGACGGAGGCCACTGTCTGAAGGTCGCGCGCCACGTCACAGTTCTGGACAGGCTCTGTCAAACGGTCAACACTCTGAAATATATAAGATTTTTTTATTACTAGATTTTAAATTACAATGTTCTTTAAACCTATCAAAAATTATTTTTATCTTCTATAAATTATTAAAATATATAATATTTTTATGCTTATTAATAAATTTTTTACCTGTCCAATTTTTGGACTCATTTGGGTCATGATTTGATAATACTGCTCTATCAGCTCCTTCAGGTGTTGCAACCTTTCTTCCTCCAGCGCCTGGAAGCATTGACTTCCTCTGTTCACCGCCGTCTCCCATTCCAGTCTGTGATAAGAAGGCAATTAAAAAGAGAGTTCAACCGGCGATCATTTCACAACAAACGCACCTCGCCCGCTCCGCCCTGACGCAATAAGTGTAGTACTCGACGTCTGACTTTTTGACCGCCTCCTCCGCCTTCCTCCGCTTTGCCTCCAACTGTGAAACGGGGAAATGCAAATTAACGCATACATGCAACGCCTGATTACAATTCAAAGGGGAACAAGACAGAAGGAAAAAGTGTGAAGGGGCCGGAGAGTAAAGATAAGAAGAAAATAAATCAAGAAAACAAGTTCTTTTCCGCATTTGTAGGTCAAAACTTGAACGTTTTAAGAATTAAATTAGAGGAGAAAATAATTGTGTAAAAAAATTCTAGGCATAAAAATGGATGGCGAGTAAATTTTTAACTAAAAGAGCCATTTTTTAAAATTTTAATTAAACTGTAAATTATTATACTTCAAATTAGAACATTTTAAAATTTATTTTTCATGTCAATTATAAAAAAGAAAATTATAAAATAGTATTTATAAAAATATTTGCACATTGAACAAAAAGTAATTATCTCTCCATAATTTTATTTTTAGGCTTTCATTAAATAAATATAATTTTTTTAGGCACTGACCTTGCCAATTTCTTTATCGGACACAGTTGGACTTCGGCCCGACCTGCCGAGGCGCTGCGCCTCCTGCAGGGCGTCCTGCAGCCGCTCGTTCTCGCGGGCGCACCCGAAGCTGTTCTTCTTGGCCTTGGCCTCGTGCATGCGCCACTCGGCAAGTCCTTTGCCACTTTTGTCAACGGCGCTGTCGACCGACTTGCGGACTCGGTGCTGCGCCTCCAGCGTGGCCTTCAGCGGCCGAACCACCCTTTCGGCCAGGGCGGCGGCCGCCTCGCGGTGCGCCTCGCCCTCGGCCTCCATCTGGGCGGCCGCGTGTTGCCACGCGGCGCTCACGGTGCCCACCGCGTCCTTGGCGTTGCGCGACAACTTTCCGCTCAACTTGCTCAGGCTCTTCGCGTACTGCGCCTCGGCGTCGGCCCTGAAGAAAAAGAGACAAAATAACCCTCAAATTAATAGTTCCAAATTCAGATTATTTTGGTTCAGTTTGAGTTGAGAAAAAAATAACATTAATGCATTTGTTTGAATTACAATTTGCTGCTCAAACGTTTGAGGCTAAGTAAAGATAAAATTGATTAAATTAATGATATTTTTTTCAATATTGTTTAAATTTTAATTACATTTACGTTCAAAAATCAAATTCAAACTTAAAACTTTCAAAGTGGAACCGGTGATAAAATTAAATTGAAAATATTAAAAATTATTCAATAAAGGATTATTTGCAATTATGCAAAATATTTGTACATTTTAATCTGGTTTTGTTCAGTTTTGCTAAAAGAAAAGAAAATAATGAGGAAACAAATAATTTTAAAAGTGGTATGGTATTGATTAAATCAGATCAAATAATAATGTTGCTTAGTTTTTTCTTTATCATAGTGTTTGGTATTTGGCTCCAAATGTAAACCACATTTTGCTCAATATCTAAATCCAAGCCATTGAAACCAATTAAATAATAATAATTTATTGTAAGAATATTTTATTAAATAATATCAACAGTGCAACCTTGTAGAAATCGGTAGTTATTTTATTTTTAATATAATTACTTTAAAATTTCACTTCTCTTTCTAGAGAGTTAATAACAAGTTCTCAAATAACACCTTGTTATAGCGAAGATCACCAAACGTCGCAAAAACTGAAGAAAGTTAGCAAGGTATAGCCACACCGCGCTGTATAATTCCATAAAACATGACCAGCACGTCCAGCTGTCTTCGAGACGCCATCCATAATTTTTTACTTTTCGCCTAACGACTGGAGTAAAAGTGAGATTGAGATTTGAATATGGTATGTAATTTTAGAGATTATTTTTGGCGCGCGCATCATTTACGCTCTCGAAAAGGAAGCAGCTCTTGATAATAAATATTCTCACGGGGAATACGACTACAGAGTGGCAATTAATATAGAGGCAAGTGATCGTAATCTGATGCTCACTTTCTAATGCGCCTCTCTGCGTGAATCTCTCTCCGAGATGAAATTGAAACGAATAATTATGGCAAGAAGTGCGAATGTTACACGCGTGTGTGTTTTTCTTTATTATATTCAATAATCGGCACGCGTGCGGATGAGAAAAAAAATTATATCGATTATATCCGTCATTAGCCGTGAGTTCAAGCCGCCTTTCTTTCAGGTATGTTAATTGTATAAGAGGAGTCTCTCACGCTTATAATGAGATGTAGGCATAGTAAAAGAGCCAAATTAATTTGTAATTAATGTGAAAACTTGTGATGTAAATGAAATAAATAATTTTTATATACAATTTGTCTGCTGAAAAGAAAGTAGTTTGAGTAGAAATAAAGTTGATTTGATTGATTTTCTCCTGAGACGTGCGTTTATACACGGTATTGAAAAGGCAAGTTCAAAGTCAGGGCCGCGAGTCGAGCGCGGTATTGTTCATGTCCAGCTGGCTGGAGTGATGACGCCTTTGATGGATTGTGAAGAGAGAAACCGTACAATCAGAGAACACTGCATATTTCTGGAGAAAAGCGCATTGTTGCATTACAATAAAATTTCACCAAAGCCTCTGCAGTCATTAATTGGCTACTAAATTAATTGGATACTATCACTATTTTTTAAATTGTTGCAATTATATGTGAATAATGAAATATGGAAGATTCCATTTTATAAATTATGGAAAACAATAAAAGGTGAAGAAATCAGTTCGTCAGTTAAATTGAGAATAATTAGTTTTTAATAATCTTCAATTAGCACAAAGTTTCTTCATGATTATATGCTTTCATTTTATGACCAAATTAGCCCAGATAGGCTTCAGATATTACGATGAATATGAGCAAAACGAGAGTTTATTATTTTAATTGACCAAATTTTCATTAAATTCTATATTTTTAACCAATAATTTAAATTTTTAAGCACTCTTGATAAACGATGAAATCGTCAAATATATGGAATATCTGGTCATTTTTAGAATTTTTTATTAATTTATTGCAGCATAAAAACTAAAATTGATATTTTTTTATTTATTTTGTACCTATATGAATTTATAACCAGATCAAACGAGAATTTAATTAATTCGTAATAAATAAAGTCAAAATAAGATTGAATTAGGTCAAATTTTTACTCACCGCTCTTGCAGGATGGCACTGAGCTCTTTGCAAAAGTCGCCGCCCTGCTTCATGTAGCGCCGCAATTCGTCAAATCCGCTCTGGCCCTGCAACATGACGCCGAAATCGCCGCTGCCGTTAACTCGTTCTTTTCACGACAAAATAAATGATAAAAAAAAAACACAGTAGAGCACACAAAGAGCAGAGGCCACACCGCTCAGGCTAGCGGTCACACATGGCGTATTTGCACAGCAAGAGCCAGTCTCGAATGACTGACTCTTTGCTCACCAGCACACGACACCGGCAAATAAATTAAATGATGGGAGGAAGCAAAGAGTGGGACTTGTCCGATCGCTTGTCCCCTATATTCCGAGAGTGCTCATCCGCTTCAGGCTACTTGTGCACAACAAGGTTTCCAATTTCGTTGCGGGTGTGAAATGGAAATTATAAAATAAGAAAGAAAATATGAAAGCAGATTTTAGATTCTTAAATTTATTGAAGATAAATTTTTCAAACATTTGAAATAAGGAAAAATTAACATAATTAAACTTTTGAAGAAGTTTTTATTTTTTATCAATTTATTTTAAATTTCGTAGCAGTTTTTGCTCTACTTAAAAATCAGATTTAAACAACTTTCAGGTACAATGCATATAGGTAATCAAATTTCTCATCTCCTCTTTTTAAATTATTATTATTCGCATTGTTATTAATTTCACAAGCCAGGCGATCCCAAAAAACTGGATCACTTTTATTGAGGTTATTGCAACTGAATACGAAAAGAAAGGAAATAAACCTAAAAAATCCTCTCTGCATCTCTCTTGTTAATGGTCTCAATTATATCTCGCTGAGTGGTCACCAACAGAGAAACAGATGCGCTCGGCATTGAATGTTTCGGATCAAATTTTTACTTCCAATTTGCTTCGGTTATTTTGAGAGTAAGCTATGGGAGAGTGGACACAAAAATTGGACTGCAATAAAATTCGAGCAGTGTGCGGAAGCCGCCAGATTTACAACTTCTTATGCCGAGCGGCGTGAGTCTCGCCGGCGAATAATATTTAATAATATCCGCGTTTACAGTTAGCTTGTCTATCATTATGTGGCTTTCCGTGAGCAGATGCGATGCGATGAATGTCTTGTCTCTATTATTTTTTACAACTCATTTTTGCCCAAAATACAAAATTTATTCAATATAAAGGACAAAGGAATTTAATAACTAATTTTGTATACACGTGATATTTTCTAATTAAAAAAAGGACTTAACAGAAATTTTGAATGAATTTTATTAACGTTGATAATTATTATTCAATTGTATTTTTTTTTCACAAATAAATTTGATCAAGGCCTTCATTGTCTGATTAAAATAAGAACAATTAAAGAATTTTGAAGACAAACGATATTTTGTCATCAAAAGGAACAACTTTCTTTTTCGACAGGGAGGTTTTAATTAATTCAATTTAAAATCAAGCACGGTCTCTGCATCGAGCTGCAATAAAACAATTGGCATAGGTGAATAATTGCGAACGGAAAAATTTTGTAACCGCTCAAAAGAGTCGAATTGCGTGGTGCATTTTATTTAATCGTTGTGATAGTGAGGTCGAAAACGAGGGGAACGCGCGGCATGCAGTTGAACGCACTGTAAAACGCGGCTGCTTTCGAGACTACGGATCGTCGACTACCGCAATTGGCCAACGCGCGCTCTGCTAGCGGAATGCTAATTAGGCAACGTCTTCGCTAATAAGAGGCTGACCGAGGGGTATAGAGTGTCAAAATAAATAGTATCAATATCAAATAATATGAGACGGTGTGCAAAAATTAAATATGTGAAGGTCAAACAAACGTTTGGTAAGATGACAAGAAACTTGTAAAATTTTGGTAATCTTTATATTCTTAAAATTGATTTTATTTTATTTCTCATTCCTTAATTTATAGTAAATAATATTCTTTTGTAATAATTTGTAGTAATTTATTATATTTTGAATATAAAATTAATTTGTACTATTTTAAAAGTGTGAACTAAATCAGGTCGACTTATATTTACACATTTTTTTTTCAATTTAAACTATTATATAAAATCATCAAGACCTCTGTAAAAAAATTACGAGAGTAAAATATTAAATTTCTTCGTCAATTATTCTTTCTTCCTTGTAATTAAAAACTGTATGAATTAAATTTAAGAAATAGTTGAAATTTTAATTTTTCTAATTGGATAAAATATAAAACTGGAAGTAAAATAATTTAATAAAATGAAAAATATTAAACTGTACCTCATTGATTTGCAAAACCAGATTAGGCGACGACGCCCATATCACTGATCGCCGCAGAGTTTTTCCTCTGCTGAGGGTGCTGTACTGATTCATATCGCGCAGCAAATGCACTACTTAAGTCACTACAATAAGCACCACAACTAAAGTTCTTTTCGACGGATGTTCACCTGTCCGCGACCGAGCACCGACTGCTGCTGGCTTTGGGGAAGAGTGGGTGGCGCGCGCGATATTCGGACGGACGGACGGGAAGTGAATGTGCGATGAGCGCGCCTTGGCATTGTGTCTATGTTACAGAAGCATTTCCTTTTTTCGTGCATTTCATTTCAAATTAACTGCAACAAGATCTTTCTCACAGAAAACATGAGATTCTCGCCGAAACTTTCATAATTCACACTGCGTCGGTGCGCGCATTGTTTTTCGAACGAGAGTGAGAAAGAATGAAGCTGCGGGCTGCACGGCGAACAATGGAGCTGCTTTTATTTCCAACGACCGGGCGTGGTCACCTGCGCATCGCCTAATGCTCGTTATCTATAAACACAAATGTGTGTTCACAATGTTAGTTCCGACCTAGTCGGAACATTCGGAGATCTTTGTTTTTCCGTAGTTTCTCCTGAAAACAAATCATCAGGAAAATTTTTGGTGAAAGTGCTCTCTATATTTTTATTCCTGTCAATGATGATTTGTTAGATATTCTATAGAGAGTGAAATATTTTTCCTTTGCGTAAAACTGTAGTGTGTTGTTATAATGATTATTCTTTTTGTATTTTCCAAATTTATATAATTTTGGATCTGTGGAGACTTTTAAGGCTGACAATTATTATCAAATGAATGAGTTAAATTAATTCAAACAATCAGATTCACCTGACATTTCAAAAACGAAAATATGCAACTTTGGCAAAATTAGCAGCCACATGTTATCTATAAAGAGAAATTAAAATTAATATTTTGGTAAAAAATCAGTAGAGGAATTTGTTAATTTATGATAATTGCAATGAAAATTATGAATAAAATGAACATTCAATGAATTATTAGTTTTAACAAATTTTTGCTTTAAATTTAAAAAAACTTGTCCTAATAGCTGCTCATGATAATTTAAATCATTCAATTTCATAGGTTTTACTAATTTTAGTGGCAAAGGAAATTTTATTAAGTTAATGATTAAGGCTACTTTTTAAAGTTTTGTAAACCTATAAAGTTTTTATAATTTTATGAAGTAGTGAATTTTAATTATTTATTTATATCTTTTTTGAATACAAACAATAAACAATGTTGCAATGTATGAAACTTTATTTTAAACTATGCTAAACGTATTAAAAAGCCGTTTTAGTAAATTTGCAATTAGTTTTTTTTTTTGTAAATCAATCAATTTATAAAAAGCTATAGGCTATGAAATACATCTTTAAACACCTACATAAAATTTCCTCAAAAAAGCTTAAAATCAAATCTGTAAAATCTGCTTCTGACTCGTCTATCATCGAAGTCTATCTGTCGACGAATTAAAACGGCGTAACTCTTAAGGCGCAACATCGGGGTCAATTCGCCACTTGACCGGTGCCTCTATGCAATAATAAAAGAATTGACCTTTACCGCTGCGCTGCGACGGCGAAAATGCAGAAATTGTCAAGTTATGAATTTCATTAAATTGAACAAGGAAGAGAATTCTGCTCTTATTCAATCAGAGGTTGGTGATGCAATTGCCGCGTCGAGACGTGATAATTACAGTGGAGCGTCTCTCTGCTCCCGTCATGACAGATCAACATCGACTGAAATGCTAAGTGTCTCCGCTCACCGCTTTGCACTGCATGATTTTATTTCACCTTCAAATGCCTTTTAACGAGTAGAAGCCACGAAACTAATGCACAAAATAATAAACTTGTGAAAAATACCAGGAGAATTTATAGCGAAATTTTCCGAACACAAAAGCGGATACTGCAAGCACGGGCAATAGAGCGGAAAGAGAGCGAAACTGAAAAATAAAACATTTTTTAACTGATGTTCTTCAGCTTCGTCCTCCTTTCTGATGTCGAACGTTTAGTAGAAAAATAAATCATGTAGTAATTAAAATATATTCGGAAATTAAACAAAATAATTATTTAACGCACGCCGCCTTGAGGTCTAATAATACAAAATTGACTGATTTAATGTGATTTTATGAGTAGATTATGGTAATTAAATCAACCTCATACTAAGCAATCTTTTTCTCATTACTAAAAAACAAAACCGTATTAATCAATTCGGACGTCCCGTTTTGAAAATTTCGCATGTCGCTTGCGTCACCGTCATCAACGTTGAAAATCCGGTGGACGCATTTTCTGATGTAGTTTCCCGGGAAAACAAATGATTTTTCCGTCCTTGGTTTCGCTTCCTGTGGTGCGGAGCAGGAATCAAACCTTTGTTTCTACGTCAGTTGCAAAGGTATTCAATTGGCGATCAGACGCGTAAATGGCAAACACGATGGCCTCTTTGAGTGTTATTGCTCTATTATGCTCTCTTCAGATGGTAAGTGAACGTAGCGTTTCTTTAAAACCAAACAAAAAATCCACTCTAAATTAAAAACAAATTATTTAAATACCTGGTGTTTGCTGGTATTTTGCTACAAAATCATTTTTGAGTGTTGAGGTTGAGGTGAAAATTGGTAATATCTATATTTACCGAAAAAAAAATGGTGTACAGACAGTAACAGCAAAAAATTATTTTAATTAAAATAATAAAAACAGTAAAATTGCAGATATAAGTTTAAAAAAAACTAAAAATACTATTTTTTCCCCCAAGATTTGTTTCTTTAAATAAGTGCACACTTATATAAAATGGTGCATACATTTCTATTAAAAATATAATAATAATAATATATATTAATAAAAATTTAAAAAAAGAATAAGCTGCACATTGATAATTGTAAATTATTTGAAAAAGAATACAGAACAATCTGCACTAAAATTTTTTTTAGATTTTAAATTAAGTGACAAAATTTATCAGGCAATTAAAATATTGAAATTTTTTACTAGGTGGCAAGCTTCAATGTGGATAGAGACGAAGAGGGCTATCACAATATTTCAAAGCGTCAAACGCCTTCAGTTCCAATTTGCTATACTCAGTTGATGGATGTAAGTGCAATGCTAGAAACATTAAAATTTTCAAAGATTTACTTGTTGCCAAACGTTACGCAAATTCAGGGTCTCAAATTTTTTTAAAGAAAACTGAAAATTCAAATGTAAGAAAAAAAAATCCTACTTTTTAGTTCAAAGTTTTCTGAAAAAAATGTGGGCCGACAAACTCGTGTGACACGTTGGCGTGCAAAAATTAAAAATGGTGGAAATCAGTATGGTGTCATTAGACAGGATGTGCGTCAACTACATCGTCCTGAATACAAAATTTGAGATCGCTCTAGTTTGAAAATCCTCATTTTCCTTTTTCTAATATTCAAAATAAAATTTAAGAGTTCATTACATTATTTGCGATAAAAAGTTTGCCTTTTTTCTCTAGAAAGCGATGTGTACCTCCTGCAAAGGTCTTCCATCTGTTTTTTGCACCAACTCCGCAGAGTTAACGAAATGCGTGGCCACAGGTGGGAATAAAAAAGTTTAATTATTTCATTTAAAGATCCTGTCTTTTTTTAGCAAAAGCAAAAACTGCAGCTGCGGCTGAAGCAGTGGTAAGTGAAAAGTCTTTGAAAATTTGATTACATCTGTCTAATTTCTTCTTGATTACAATCCGCAGTGCCTGGCTGATTGCACATTGAAAGCACAGAAACTAGTAAGATCAAACTGAACTCTGAACTTTAATTTAATTTGTATTTAATATTAAAAAAGAAAAAAAAATAAGCCTGCTAAATAAAATATTTGCTTTGGTTAGATCTGGTTTATCCAGCCTGCCCTGCAATACTTTTCTTTAATACAAACCATTTCTTATGGATTAAAGAATTTTTTATTCTCACATTAAGTTCTTTGAAATGTAAATAATTGTGATCTTAACGCAGACAAGTGCTACTGGAGTGGACGAAAAACTGGTGACCGCTTATTGGGCTAAGCAGAAATTGGACAAGACTTGGTTGGGCATCACCAACAAGGCTATTGCCCCTTGCGTCAAGGATGCAAACAGTATGGAGCCAAAAATTCCGTGGCATTAACGGAAAATTAAAATTTCCGACGTGCGTTACAGAATTATCCGCTGCTAAGTTAGCATCCGGCTACAAAACCACTTGCAAAACATCTGCATTCTACGCAGACGCCTGCATCCGTGCCGCCGTAATCAAGGTGAATTTGAAATTATTGGAAGCTGAATTATTCTAGAATGCCACATTTGGATCTAATATTGATTTTAATTTGAACAATAAGCAAATGAAAATAATTTAAAAGAAACGCGTTTCCTAAGAAATTTTACACATTTTATAAATTCGTATAAATAAGTAAAAAAACCTTGTTTTGCGTATTTAGATTTTGCATGCTTACAGTTTTCAACCCTAATAAAATTAATTTGTTCTTTATTCATTCTGGTAGCAGACGACCACATCTTGTCTGACAAATACAAATTTTTAAAACTTTATGAAAATAAGTTTTCCATTAAAATACGCGACTTATCAAATTTTCAAAATGTTATAAATTTGTTTTAAAACTGAAGAGGAGTTACAAACAATAATTAAATTGTGACTTAAATAATATTGATTATTTTTAGAGCTGTCCAGCGGCATCCAAGCAGGCCACTTATAGTACTGTCGAAAAAGCCCTCATGGCATGCGACTACACAGCCATAACCAAGTCGACGGCACAATTAGCGCAGGAAGCCATGAAGAAAGTTGATCCGAAAACACTTGCAGCGGCGTCAAAGGACCCTTTAGCCGCGCTCGCCCTGGCAAAACAAAGTGGCTTAGATATGTCAAGTTTGACTGGAGGCGGTAAAATGGACACGAACGCGATGAAGGATCTAGCAAAAAAGTATCTTGGGTAAATAATGCCCTCTAAAGACATTTTCAAAATTTTATAACGTTGACATTATTTGTAAAATGCACATTGGCTTTTCATAGTAAAAAGGCGAAATATTATATCAGACAACAACCAAATAATGCTGTAATTGAGTTTCATTTTGATAAACCTGGAAATCTGAATGAAGAATTTTGCTATTATTTAATTATATTTTCAATATTATATAAAAGAGCGAGAAAAAAAACAATTATACTCTCTGAAAAGAGAAAAATTAGCCCTAATTACCCCTGGGTAAATGTTTTTTAAAGATAAGCGACAAATGCAAACAAAAATTAAGTTAATTTAAATCTCTAAAAAAAGGTAGCTATTGACATTAATTACGCTGCAAATTTTAGAAATCAACTTTAGAATTCTTTAATGAAATTTTATTCAATTATTTTTCACCAAATATAAAATAAGTTTTATTCTTTGTTTTAACCTATGCTCTTCAATTCCTATGTAACAGATAGAATGCTATAGATGGAAATTATTACTTCAAAACCAAAAAAATATTACAGTTTTATACGGAAAAAGTATAAATTAAGGTTCATATCTTCAAAATAAAAATTTTATCAGAAAATTGAAAATATATTTCACTTATTTGTTATTTGCCAATGGAAACAAATTCATCGAATTTCAATTTAAACTTAAGTCATCATTTTTCAACTGAAAAACAAAAGATTTGATCTAATTTTTTGTATCGGCAGATTTCATTTGTGACAATGATGAAACTAGCTTGCTTGACAACAAGGTCAACCTAACTTATTTTAAAAAGTGGCAAAATTTGTTTTGTTTAATACTGCGCTCAAAAATGCCAAGTTGAGGACAAACGCCGTTGGAAATTTTTTGATAAAAATTATCTGGCTTTTGTGATAGTTACTTGCCACGCCAACCACGTCAAGGGGGAACCAACCATTTACCTGTATTGAAATTTAAACAGAAATAATGATTTGCGTAGACAAAAATTAAAAGTAAAAATTGAAGTAAAAATAATAAAGCATTAATTTATTCAGCACATGAAAATTATAATAATCCAAATCTGAAAAACTGTCATTTTTGTTACAGGATCAGAAAAGAAATATCTATGAGTAATATTACTGTTATAAAATAATCAAAACTGGACTTTTGTGATTTTACAACCGAGAGTCAGTAAAATACTAATAAAATTACCAGCGTTTCCTTTTTTAACGTCTCTCACACATCCTCATTTTCGAAAACAATCACTTAATTTCTACGGGCAGCAACAATCGAAGCGTTAATTTAGAGCGTTTACCACGATTTCTTCGCACAGAAACTGACCCAAATATATATACCGGCGTGTAAATTAAAAGTAAGTCCGGTGCGTGTAATTAAGGTGGTTAATAAAGCCGGAATAATACAATAAACGTGTCAAGTGAGGAGGAAATGAAATGGAATATCGAGGCCAGCCACTTGTTGTTCTCGTCGGAGAGAAATTAAAGAGAGAGAAGACACACGCTGCTTTGGCTGCGTGCATTCATTCACACCAACGACCCCCCAGGCAGATACTCACCATCATGACAAGTTTATTATATTAAAGTGTGTGTATTTTGAGTGGCAGGTGGTTTTGATTGATTGTTCTTAAGTGAACGAGAATGCTTAAATTTGGCACTTTTCTATTTTAATCAAAATTTCCAAAATTTTAATAGAATATTTTTAACCAATTCTGAATAAAAGTACTGAATGTCACAAAAAACACACTTGGTTTGCAAAAATTATAAACATATCTTGGCAATTATTAAAGTGACGTAATTCAACACAGGTGCTTTAAATAGTAAAATCTTGAATGCACAGTTTCAAAATATTATCAGATGCCCAAAAATAGTTTCAACTCATTAAACGTGTCCGCATTGCAAGGCTTAACGAAAGGAATGTCCTTTTTCGCACACCTCCATTTTAGTCGAACACATTTTTTTTTTCGAAATATTTTCTCACTCGCACGACCCACCTATTAATTTCATCAACTTTAAACCTACGCTCGGCAGAAAAGGTTCTGCCTTATTCTGCATTATTTTCTGATGGGTCGTGGCGTCGCACGAGAAGTTAATTGCGTAACTTGGCCGCGTAGGTCGTCGCACGCCTCCACAATTGGCCATCGCGGCCCACTCGGAACGCCCGATTTGGAGACGACCGGTTCTTCATTTGGACTTGCTGCGGAGACCCCCTTGCGCTTGCACGTTTCATCAAGTGGATGGAGAAAACGAGATGCAGCTTAATTTTAAAAGGAAGATATTGACCTGTTGTGAGAGAATAACCGAATGATGTGAATTAAAATTTTAAAGTATTTTATGAAATAAATTTTGATGTATTCATTTGAAACAATATTAATTACAAAAGGGAGAACTTGATTGTTTTACATTAAATTCAATTTTTGTTTCAAAGTAAATAATTATTTGATCAATATCAGTAAAAAATATATGAGAAAAAGCACCAGACTTGAATTATAAAATTTAGAAAGAAATTAAAAAGGCCTTTTTTTATATAAAAAAAGTTCCTTTCAATGCTTTTGCAAATTGCAGAATATTTAAAAAAAAATTGTATTTAAACCAAATTAATGTGACAAATCAATCAGTAATCGAATACAATGGAGCTCTAGCAACAATAAATTATTTATGTACCTCAAATGAAAGCAAAAGTTTGATCGATCAAACAAGTGCAGCAGACTGGTCTCTATCGTGACCGGTGCGCTCATTGATCTGATTTTATTCTGCGCCGCTCAATATACTTTTTATCTCTCCTCTCATAATGAATTGCAAGTTTGTATTGCTCTCATTTAACAGTTGACTGATTGAGCAACGCGCGCCGTGGTTGAAAAGTGTCAGAGCGCGAGTGCACCGCTCCGCACCAGAGCAAGGTGATCGTGTTTTCAGTGGAAATCGAGTGCAGCAGTGCAATAATAATTTCAGCTAGACACCGATTTTGCCATCTAACACCGCAGCAGCGATACGGATCTATCGGCGTGCGTGTGCGAAATGAGTGTCCATGGCGTGGCGGTTTTCGCTCTCCATTTACACCATGTACACACCTCAAGGGCGAAGATTGGACACAAGTGGAATGGCAAAATGTTATATGACGGCGGTTTTATCTCTCCATTGAATGTATCTGCAATCTTAAGTGCACTACTGGCTGACGGTTGCAAAAAAAAATGTATGTGGGAAATGATTCAATCAGGAAATATCGTTTAAAAAAGCGCCTGGTGTGGACGTGTGGTGATACACGCTGAGAAATTATCATGTTATTAAGAAGTAAAAATGGAAAATGATTAAAATTTTGGAAAAGTGTGAAAATTAAATGAGATAAATAACTTTTTTAAACATTTTATAATTTAAAGTTTTAACGCAGATTTGGAAATATTCATATTTGTTTTGAAAATTTTCTCCTCTTTTGACACTTCTATAATTAATGTGACCAATAGATAACGAGTTTTATAAAAATGACCATTAAAATTAAATAATTATAAAGTAATTAATATGACTAATATTATTTAATTTTTATGTGAAAATATATCTGAATTTTTTTTAAATCAGCTCGTCAGACGATGCGTTTTGAATTTCTTTTTTCATGTCTGTGAATTTGAAAATAAATAAAGGAATTCGATATCATTTCAATCAAATCCATGTGACATTTTAGTGCGGAAATAGTTAGAGTTCATTATTCACTTGTTTTAATAAAGAATCAATCATTGTGACGGATGCTGCGATCTGCACGAAAGTGAGCGGGACCATGTTTAGCCTGCCGCATTATTTTTCACGGCTGAAAGTTGACATTTAAAAAGAGAAATCTCATTAAGCATCTCCTCTGAATTTTAAATAGTGTATCTGTCTGAGTGTCCGCGGCAAGTACGAATTTATTTCGAATGTAATTGTTTTCGTCCAAGTAAGCAAGCAAGTCGACAACCTTCGAAGAAAATCTCCCCTCTCCTGCGTTTAGAGTCAGGCCGACGGTATATTTCAAGAATAAAACGCTGCCAAAACACGGACGTAAGCCTCGCCAAATCGCACAAAAAGTCGTCTCTCGGTGTCCGAGTTGTACAGAGAAATGAAATGCAAAAAGCTGCAGGATCAACTTTTATGTTCATTTGCAGAACAATAACTTTTATTTAAGAAGCGAGTCAATAAAACACGCACGGAGCAGAGTCACTATCTGCGACTGCAAATAATACTTCGCACGGGCCCATTCAGACGGTGTTTATTTTTCACCGTAAAGTTTGCGCACACGCGAGAGTTGTTATCGTGCTCTGCATTAAATTTGACTATTTAAATTGGCAATCTCTACCCAAGGGTGAATAAAAAAGCTCTCGTCGCTGCTCTAAATTTGGTTCAGCCATCGCATCAGAAAGGGATCTTTGATCGTACGATTGTTTTTGATGCCAGAGTCGTGAGGCCAACAAATTATTTGGTTTTAAATTCTTAATAAAATAAGATAAAATGGCAAAAATTTTAATTTAAATAATTTTTTTTAAATTATACATAAAAGATATTAAAAACGCATATTCATTTTTGGGGTTTTTGCAGTGGAGATCAAAATTATATATTATTGATAATTGTTACATAGTTTAATTGAAATATTTCCAGCACATTTTTTAAAAAATAAACTCAAATTCAAACAAAACTATATCTTCAGGAGTCAAATTTTTTTATGGTGGAATCCAAAAGTTACTTATGGGGAGGCTTTCTATTATATTTTTATATCTGATTTACATTTATATTTTAAATTATAATTATTAAAAAGATGAAGATTTTAATAGGATTTTTTAGCATTTTAAACTAAAAGGAAGTATAAGTAGAAAGAAAAATAGTCAGAAATTAAATCTTGCCATGAGCATTTTAAATTGCTTGTTTTCGCTTTTAACCAGTTTTTAATTACATTATTTGCATAAATGCATGCCAAAGCAAAAAACTGCCATAAAAAACGTCTACGCCCTAGTAGATAAAAATAATTAAAGCAGCGGCGTAATTATAAGCTCTCATGGGCGGCGAGTGAAGTCAACCTCCCAAAGAATGAGGCGGAGTGGCACGGCGCCAGAAAGCCGACATATAAACGCGCGACACACGCGCGCGCTCCCTCAATAATTCTCCAAGCAACCCTCCACAATGTATCGGATTGTCTTAGTCCCTCTTGTCTACCGCAACCACTCAAAAAAACGCATAAATCGGGCCTATTTTAGAGACACGAGAGACCGTTCTTGGGATTCTCGGCGGTGGATTCACGCCTCATAAATTTTTTCAGTGGGTTTTAAGGCAATCAAGACCTCGGAATCTCGCGTTATTTTTTTCTGAACCTTCACTGAGAAATTTTTATTTCCAGTCTGGTTAATTTAAAATTGAGTCTTAAAAATATAAATATTCTGGTTTGCCTCCATAAACAGAAAATAAATACAACTCACCTCAATAGGTAAATATTTGCTGACGCGAACGTCGTCCAGACCTGGTGACATGAGTCTGACGCTCCTCGCCCTTTCACAGATGGCTCTGGGCAAGATTGGAGGCGGCTCGGACAAGCCCCTTGAAGGTAGTGGAGGCGGCGCGGCCGTTGCTTCGGCCGCCTGCTCGTCGGTCATGAGCACCGAGTCTCTGGAAAGTTTCTCGCCGATCTTCTTCGCACTCTCACTACCCCAGTCCCTCATGGCGACCCACGCCTTGCTCAAGGAATGCCGCACCGCCCCCAGCTTCGGGGGATGCAGGGCGTGGAGGCGGCGTTTTGAAATCAGTCTGCCTCCGGGCCGCCTTTTGAATTCAATGTTCTCGTAAGTGGCCTGGGCCCGAGCCAACTCCACGTAGTCGTCCTCGGGTGAGATTTCAGGTAATTTTATTTCATCCTCCTCATCTTCTACAGGTGATTCTGCCAATTTTTCTTCCAATTTTTTCGTCACTTCTTTTTTCGCATCAGGCAGGGGTGAGCCGGGGAGCGACTCGTCCAGCGCAATGTCAGTGGCGTCGTCCAAAGTGAAGTCACCGTCCCGGTCTGAGGAGGAGCTGGACGACGTCTCCGGTCCAGAGTCATCGGCATCATCTAATTTTTTAACAAATTTTTTAGATATTTCGATTTTAGGCTTTGCTCCTTTCGGTGGGTCGAGTTTTGGCACTTTTGGGGAGGGAGTTGCGGGAAGTTCTTCGTCATCCTCGCCCATCGCGATCGGCGCTTGCAAATTGAACTTTACCGTTTTCTTTTCCAGAACGGCATTTAACTCTTTCACAACATCGCCCTTTTTCATCTCAACCGAATCCAAATTTTGCTTTTCTTCCACAATAATTTCTTCCTCTTTAGCCTGTTGAATTTCTTCTTCCTTTTCATCTTTAATCTGGTTCGGCTCGCCGCCTTTGTTCTCCGTATCGGGCTCAGCATCTTGAGGTGGTCTGCTTTCTTGTTTACAAATGATATCGCCCGCCTGCTGCGAAGGGGTGGTCTCTTTAACGGCATCTGCGGGACACGTGCCACCCTGCGTGTTGGGCGCCTCGAAATTATCAGAGAAATTCTCTACACTATCGGCTCGCGCTTTGAGTCGCTCCTCGCCGGTTGCAAAAGCGTCGTCCGCGAATAAAATCTTATCCATTTCAGCCAAATTTTTTGCTTCTTTCTCACTCAGTTTAAAAGGGTTGTTGGGGCTGCTAAATTTCGGAAAGAAAGGATTTAAATTCGGATTTCCAACTGGGGTGGAAAAATCCTCCGAAGAAGGAGAAGCATTTGAAACATTATTTTCAATAGGTTTTTTCTCTTCGGGCGGAATTTCCGCAGTTGCAGCCGACGAATTAAGGGTGGCTAGTGAATTAACATCAAAGTTCACCGTGAAAAACCCTTTAACTATTGCAACGGGATTTTCCGCGTCAACTTCATCCGTAGTCGTTTCATCCAGAGCCAAAGTGCTCGGTCTTTTTGGAATATCCCCCTGCTGCTGCGGCACGGCTGAAACGTCAGACGTGTCTCGGGCCTGCTGTTTCTCGGATGTCATCGCCCGCTCGTCTTTGACACAATTGACATCCGCTGGGGGAACCAGCTCCTTAATGAGAGAAGCTGCGGCCTCCATGATTTTGTTTCCGTTTTCATCGTCCAGGGAAGCTCTTTTCGCCTCCATCAGTTTTTGCAAGGGCGACTGCGGGTTGGTCGGAGAACCAACTTCGGGGGAGTTTTGCGAAGAGCCGCTGCTCTCCTTCAAATGGTTTATGGGCGAATTTTCCAAAACCTCTGCCATTTTTTTCAATCGCCTCGTCAGGGTCGTCAGACCGTCCTCCAAATTCAAGGCAGGGTCTTTCGATTTGAAAATTTCCTTCGGAGGACTAGAGGTCGGGAGTGGAGGAGGCGACGGAGATTTTTTTACAACCTGCTCCTCAACTTTGGGGGTGTTTTCTGAATTTTCATTTTCCGAACTTCTCTTCTCACCGTCACTTATTATTTTTTCATTGTCCTGCGGCACATCACCATTTTCAGCAGCTTCGTCCAAAAGGTTGTCACAACTACCTTTATTTTTGTCAATGGTGGCCAAAATGTCCTGCAGCAGGGTCCCTTCTGCACTGTTTGGCAGGTCAAGCGCGACACTACCTGAGTCTTCGTCAGCCGTATTATAGCTGCTGCCGGCCGGTGATTTGGGCGGTGGAGGCGGAGGGCTGCAGGAGGGTCGCTGGACCGGCGGGGGCGGCTGCTGCTGGGGCGTTGAAATGACCAAGGACGTTGGTCTGGCAGCCGGGGGCGGCGTGTCCGGAGGCGGTTCCTCGGCCCGGCCGACCCAGAGGGACACCCTGCGGGCGGCGGCGGCGGGGACGATGGACGACGGCCACCACCCGCCGCCTGTTCGTTTGTCCTTCATGACGCGCGTACCGGGGTCCGCGTGCGTGAGCGGCACTGCGAGTACTAAACCAACCACCACTTGGGTCTAGTGGCGTTCGAAACGTGAAGAAGAATTAAGGAGTAGAGCAGACCCCCGGAAATAGAACAGCCTGCCGGGCCCCGATATAGCACAAAAAGCTTCCCCGCCGCTCTAGTGGATCAGCCAGCGTATTTACTTACCCCATGCTCGCAGACGACCACGTGATTCACGCACTCGCATGGTTCAGTGCGGGGATGATTGGTGCAGTTTTTGGCTATTTGAGCCTTAAAAAGAGAAAATAGCTGGCACGTACGAGACCATCTGCGCGTTTAGCTCCGAGGGAGCGTGTGCGAGTCGGCGGCTTTTTTGTTTACTCAGTTGAGGAGCGAATTGGTGAGGTCGGGGATTTTTTATCTTTTTAGACGGAAAAATTTAATATTTGATACATAATATTTACTAAAATTCACGTTTTTATAGTGTGTCATGAATGAATTGTCAGGGAAAATATTATCAACCGAAGCTCACAGCAGCTGATGGAGTATTTCATCTCGAAAGTTTTAGCAAGATTCTAGTGATGGTGCCGTTTTGTCCAACAATTCTTTTTTTTAAATCAATTCTTTTTAACAATTGAATGTAAACTATGTAATGTAACAATGTGGACAAAGAATAATAATAATTTTATCATTCCTTTGATGAAGCACAAAAAAATTGGATCACATTTTAACTTTTTTTCTTTACAATTATTTATTTTTCAATGACAAAAGTTCTATTTTTGACTTTGTCAAAAGATGAAGCATTGAGAGAAATCTAGATTTTTTTTTTTGCAAATTTCCAATTTAGACTAAATATATAAATTTTTAATATTACAACCGGCGCTATTTTCAATGCAATTTCATTTGATTTTTTTTTTTTCAAATTTTAAACACATTTTACTTGCAAATTGATTTTTTCCATTTCATACTGAAATTAATATCTTCAATTTCAACAGCGCAAACAAAATTGCAAAAATCTAGCGCAGAAAGTCGCAGCTGCTTCAAAAATAACTGGACGCTAAGATTCACTTTCTAGAAACGCCGTGAGTGCAACAGCATTCATTCAAACAATTATTCTACAAAGGTTTTATTGTCGAAAAATACACATGGTAATTGGATTAACGACTACATGTGTAACTCGGCACGTAATTCCAGGCACGAAACGTACCCAGACGCTCGTAAAGAGCTAACACCTGTTCATCCAGAGCACTAGCGTTTACACTTTCTCTCGAATCTTTAAGTTCAGGCATAATTGTTATACACATATGTGTGCGCTGATTTTCTTCGCTTTAACAGAACTGGGGCTTTTTATGCCTTTTGTTAATTTAAAGCGAGGTAAACGACCTGGCCTTAGAAGAAAAACACACTCGGCCTTTGTTTAATTATTGGCAGCTGCTGACCCGAACAAAACGCACCGAGAAAAGCCATTAGCCGCCGAGAGACTTCTTTATTCAGTCTGCGAAATCGTGCTTGAGCTTATTTTGAGAGAGCAAATAAATAATCGTTTTAATAAAGAAGAGACTCTAGTGACGAGCCGCTGCTTTTCTATTGTGGCCTGCGTGTCGCCACGGCTATTGGTCTCCGGTTTCATTGTCAGCTGAGAGAGGATTAACTCCTTTTCACACACACAGAGATGCTTGCTTTTCTTTTCAAAGGTGACTGCACTTCGCCTTTGTGCGGTCGGTGCCGACCTGGACCAGCATGCAGGCGGAGCGTGGAAGAGCAGTAAAAGTGGTTGATTAAGCGGTTATATGTATCTCTAGTTTCATTGACCCGAAAAAACGAGTTGCGTTAAAAAATAAAGAAACGTGGTTATCAAACTTTGCTGAGATAGTAGTGATGAAACGAAAATATACTCAAAGCTTCCTGGTTGGAAAGATCGTGTGTGAAAAGCCATTCTTTTAAAATTGAATAATTGAAAGATGATTTGGTAGAAAAAATACATGATAATTTAATAACAGCAATTCCGTGGGCGCAATTTAACTCAATTTAGATGTGTTTAAGAAGGGATAATTTAATTTTGCATTGTGTCTTCCAAGATAATTTTTGAACAATAAATTTCTAAATAGGAAATGCTTCAATTTTAGTTTGAAAATGTTAAATTTTGTTATTTAAAAAACCTACAGTTGACAGAGGAAATTTTTTGCAAAATGTGCATTGATGCGGTCGCTGGAAGTTGCTAATAGATTACAAAGCCGCCGCACTGGAAGCACGCAATTCCAGTAATTTGCTCGCTTAAATGCCGTGGGAATGTTGCGAAATTTTTTCACAGGCGCAATTCAAAAGGGAAGCTCCTTGAAATGCGCACTTTGGACATTAAATTTGATATCTAGCGTGCGAAATACGCAATTCATTATAAAAAAATAAAAGTTTTTGAGATTATGTGACTCTGGAGTTATGCTTTAATTGTCCATATCAATTAAAAATAAGAAAAAACACAATATGGTTTAAAATATTCAAATTTTTTTTATGAAAATTAAATATTGTAATATAATCTTTGAGTAATTCATCCTAATCTGGTGTTCTGAAGTTAAAACTTAAGCGAAAATTGCGTTTCTTTAATACAAAAGTTTTTTTTATTGATAATTGTGTATTTTATGTAGATGCGAAATTGAGTGGTCTGCTTGGAGATAAAAACCAATCTTTCTCATCTTTCCAACAGAGCTAATGCTTTGAAAGCAAGAGTCATTTGATACAGGAGATCACATATTATGTTTGCTCTTTCCGCCATCTGGCCCAAGAACGCTTGAGTGTAATTTTATATCCACACTAAACAGCAAAAAACGTGAAGTTTTTTCGTTTCAATTTCTCATATTTTATACAATATTATCTTGACGTGCAGAGAGTCGAGAAGTGCAATCAACCCGCGATTTTTTTTCTTCAGCAACAAGGAAAACAACAGTATAATACGAGTGCAAATCGAGTTGTACAAACCCGTCGAGAAAGCAAATAAAGCGCGCAAAATCAACGATCCGAAACCCGCAAAACGCGAGATGCTCTTCTGGAAATTCGCCTCTACTGTCTCGGTCGAATGCAAATAAGCAGCCGATGTACAAAATCAGACCGCAGATCCGAACGGAATCAATTTATAAGTACGGTGTGGTCACAGAAGCGTGAGATCGAGGAGGTCTTGTTTTGGTCGAAGAGAGAGGCTGCCGTTGTATATAAATAAAATAAATATACTTAATTGATTAAAAAGCGGCAGCACCATCAGAGATGCTCCACAGCGGCGCGCCAGCAGCAATTAAAATTCCAATCTCACCGCCAAAATTAATGCGTGCGACGAATCGATAAAAAAAAATAGCCTGTTCACCAAACGAAACTGCGAGATGCATAATTATCTAAGGTAGAGAAGTAAAATTGTATAAATCGCCAAATTAAAAATAATTTGTGAAAAAAAAATAAGGTTTTAATCAGCTAGTTTCAGTTCAAAAATAGCAATTTTCCTAATTTTATGTTTATATTTTATTTTTTTGGTGTGTGATATTATAAGAGGCTTATATTTTTGGTAAATAAAGTAAAAGTTCAAATTTAAAAGTAGAATTTGGCACTTTATTTGACTAGGCCGCTTCATAAAATTGAATATTAAAAAATTTGATCATTAATTAAAGTAAAAATACATTAAATTAAAAAATTTCAAAACAAACAAAGAAGTATGCACTTAATTTTTGTTTACATTTTTTTCTTTTCAAATAAAATTTTATTCTTTATAGCAAGGGGTCATTCAACTTGACAACCCCAATAGAATCGAGAGTCAAACACACAAGAATAACCGCATTCACTTAAGTTTATAGACCTGACACAAAACAGAAGCCCCCCAGATGCATTCTCGTGTGAGTGTGGCGATTCTCTGGCCTGTATATTTTTATAACCTAAACAATGCAGTCGCATAAAAAATTTATTTAGAAAAAGTTTTGACCCAAAAGTGAGTCCTGCCAGCTCGTGCAACACGCCGACGGGCGATAAGCAAACAAATGCAGCGCGAGGGAGACCTACTTTAAAAATCGGCGTAAGGATAAAGAGGAAATGACGACCGTGCATATTATAACATGCCATATGACAATCTCCTTTGGTATAACAGTGCCGTTGCGAATTCGAAGCCAACGGCCATATCTGAATAAGAGAGCGAGCGGCACCGATTCATTTCGCGGCGTCATTGTTTTGAGTGACACTCTTAATTTTTTTTTATTTCATTAAAAGATTTCGTTATTACACTGACTGAGGATGATTATGCATTATTAAGTTTAATCGCGTGAGAAATTTCTGGTGGAAAACAACGAAATGTGACCTTGAGAGTTATTGCTGCGGTATGTCGCAAAAAGACAAAAAGTTTGTTTGTGTCTTCCGATATAATTTTAGGTTTAAAATATTTGATAAATTTTCACGAATGCAGTTTTTTTGCGAAATTTTGAACATTTAAAGGAATTAAAACTTTTAAAATCTTATTAAAATAATTATCATTATATAATTTTCTAAAATCAAATATGAATTAAAAATTTTGACTTGATTTGAGAAGAATATAAACAATAATGATAAATTCTTTTATACTATTGCTCTATAGAAAATTTGAAGATAATATTTTAGAAACGTTTTTACATTTATTTATTTTAATAATCTGTTCAATTAGCCTTGCTTGGTAAATCGATCGGTTCGGAAAATGTGTTACAAAAATTTTGTTATCTATCATTTGTTGCAGAAACATTGAAAATACAGATATAAAATAAAATAAAGTAAAACTTACGGCGAAGCTGTCTTTGAATAAAGTTGCCATCTTTTTCTTTGCAAATTATTCTTCCTCCCTCTTTGAATGTGCCTGTCACTCGAAGATCGCTCTTTTCCCAAAAAGAAAAATTTGAGTGTTCTCACATTCCACAAATGCTGGCCCTCGAAACTGTGCTGGTGAATTCAATGTGGGAACCCCCACAGGTGGTTTTTGAAGTGATTTTTTCGGAGAAAGAAAAATTCGCGAGGGCTATTTGCGTCACACTGCCGCGGAGTGGCGAGTAAAAAATACGAATATCGCGCGGCTCCAGATGGAGGCTGCGGAGAATGTGTTGAAGGAGAGCGACTTCGGAGACCAACTTGCTCCCCACGTGCCTGCTAATCAGCAACTGAACAAGAAACAACGCCGTCCGTCCATCGCGCGAACTTGTATGTTTTGACTATCCCCACTCGCTCAAGCATGCATGCTGCGCGTTTGCCGATCAATGTAATTTATTGATCATAGAAATATTTGAAAATGAGAACTAGCATTTAAACAAAAAGTTGTTAAAGAAAATAATCAAAACCCAATTTAATTAATGCTGTATAATGGAATGGATTTTTAATTAAATATTTTTGGTTTCAATCATTTCTGGTTACTTTTTCAAGCAACCGAAAAAGTGATTTTAAATCTTATTGTATAAGATAACAATGATCTTTCTAAATTGAACAAGAACAAGAAAGGATAAATAATAATTATAATCTGCTAAAATTTAAATTTTTGTTGTTTTTAATTGGCAACTAACATCGTTGCTAAAATTTTTCCTCCTGAAATGATTTTAAATAGAAAAATTATCAAATTATTATGAGCAAAACCGGATGCCGCAAAATTGATTAGTTTAATCCACCAAAAAGGATTATGCATAAAAATAAAAATAAATTTGCTATAAAAAGTTTATATTTTGTAGAACTTTGAAATAGAAAAAAAAATGGAAAATTATTCTGTGAAAAAAATTGGAAGCTCTAAATTTTTATTTATTAAAAAATAATAAAATACTCGGAGTGTATCCTGAAAAAAATTAAATTAAATTGATAATGCCATTATTGAGTTTATTGTAACAGTAACAATAAAAAGTCATAGTCTTTTGTGGCTTGTAAAAAAATTTGACTCCAGCAATGTTTCAGTTCTTCTCAAGATTTTCAGCTCTGTCCTTCACCTAGCGACCAGTGCAAGGGCAAGAAGGTTGGCAGTCACCAGTTTTGCAATCGGGTAGACAGGGTCCGGGTCCTAGGACGGTGACCAGCATATAGCCTGGCAACATCACAAAGTGATCACACTTTATTAAAATTAGAGAAGAAAATTATATATCAATATAAGGCAAGATCGCTTCGAACAAGATGACATTATTGAAACAAACCTTGTCCTGGATGTTCTGAAAATCGGTGGTGGCACGCTTGACGATGGCGTTAGCAGCAACGGGTTGAAATAATTCCGCAGCAGGGGCGGCCAGGGTCAGGGAGGCCATCAGGAGGCCAACAAACACAGAGATGAAGTTCATTTCTCGTTTGGTTTCTTGTCTTGCTGGAACTAATGTGATGTGATTTAATTGACAGGCTTTTATTGAACTTTCTGCGATGATAAAAAAAATTGTTTGTCAAAACTTTGAAATAATCGCACAATCGCGTCTGCGTGCATAACATCATTTTTTTTATTCATCACATAAAATAATATTTATAGCACAACAGAGAAATATAATTATATCTGTATTGTAAAATTAAGCACTGCACCTGCAAATAACAAGGTGGTAATATCTTTGCAAACACGAAGTTTGCTTATAAATAAAACGTGCTGCTGAATGTCTGACAATGAATTATGAAGGATGATATAAGAAATCCTGCGCTGCTGATTTTGCCATCGCCCTTAAACAACATTGAGTTTTTGTATTTCAGTAGAGACTAAGTTCGTGCATCACAGCATCAGAAAATAATAATTTTATTTTGTCGTCTAATGTCTCTAAGTCGGTACTAGAAAAACAAATTAATTGGTTAAAAAAAAAAATTAACAACCGTAATGAGTGCTTTTAACAATTTGAATAAAGAAACATCAAAAATAAAAAGTAATGTATCTTATCTGACGGCAAAAATCTTAATTTTATCCCATTTGTTGTGTGATATTCGCAGCGGAATTTTATATAGATTTATTTTAATGTCTTTTACGTAATTGCCACTCTTTATTATTATTTTCTGCCATACAACGCTAGGCGGCAAGATTTTGGCGCCACGAAGGCGTGGCTCGCGATCGTCACTTGTTTTTTTGTTAGGACTCGTGAGCTTGAGAATCATTTTTCGGCACCTAACCACAGCAATGGCTGGAGATCAGTAAGTTTTGCAACTTTTCTCTCATTAACTCAAGCCGGAAGTGTTGTTTTCTGATATAAAAATATTTGCTGCGTCGTCGGGCCAAAATTTCAGCAGATTTGGCTCGAATGTCACTCAAAATCGGGCACGAAAAGTGTGGACCATGTGAGGCCGCCATCTTTGAACCCAAGTTTAATACACATTTTCGGCGTGCTAGAAGCATCGATTTTTGCCGGATTTTCTAGAAACTTCACGAGTTTAGTGCATTTGCGCCGACTAGCCTGTTCTGAAGCATTAAATTCCGGGTCTGCTTTAGTTTTGAGCAAGTATTGGTCTGAGAAAGTGACATTTTTATCTCGCCGGCATTCAAATTCTTGATCGAAATCACTTCTGGCTTGATTCGCGCACTCACTCTTTGCAAACACAACAATGGTTCAAAGTAAAGACCAGAGCCAGTTGTAAGTGGAATTTATCTGCGTTTTCTTTGGCTACAATCAACGTGATTGAAAACATGTTATTGATTAACATGAATAATATTTTTATTAAATTATTTTCTTCCAAATTTTAGGGCAACTCCTCCTATGGTTACATGGGCACAGAGACAAGGTGTGGTGTTCCTCACAATCTGCCTTGAAGACTGCAGTGACCCTGAAGTTAAGATAGAGCCCAATTCAGTTCACTTCAAAGGTGTGGGGGGCACGGAAAAGAAACCACACGAAGTCACCATTAACCTTTTCAAAGAAGTAGATCCAGAGGCAAGTCGTTCTCCGTCGTGATGAAAATAAAAGTATTGATTTATCGATTTTGTTTCTCAACAGAAATCAGCATCTTTCCCTAGAGGCAGAAACATCGAGATTGTATTGAAGAAGAAACAAGATGGTCCCTACTGGCCGCAGCTGACCAAGGAGAAACAGAAATTCCACTGGCTCAAAGTGGATTTCAACAAATGGAAAGATGAGGATGACAGCGACGAGGAAGGGGCTGGACAAAACCAAGACCTTGATGATGTAATATTTTTTGTCTATATTCCAAAGCAATTATTCAAATTTAGAACCATTCAGAATTTCTTTACTGCCATTTTAAATTTTGGAAGCTTTCAGCAGCATTTTATTATTTTTATAATTTCCAGTCAGACTATGCATGATTTCTATTTTTAGTATGATTTAAATCAGACGTACAAGCAAATTAATTCAATTAAAGTTGTAACCTTTTATGATTGATCACATAATAATATTTTTAGTTGGAATTTCTAAAATTTTCATCTTTTCAATTGTTTCGAGATTGAAATTTCTTATTAAATAAATGTATATTATTGTTTTCAGATCATGAGACAGATAGGCGGACTTGGTGGTGGTCAGGGTGGTGAAATGGATAAGCCCAGCTTTGACGACCTGGACGCTGAAGAAGATTCGGACGATGAAGGCATGCCCGACTTGGAGGCAACCGAATAAATTGTGACCCATTGTACCATCATACCATGTGCCGAGAGCAATATATTTATTGAAATGGACACGGTGGCAAGAGAATATTCGCGAGTGCTGGTCCGCAACGTTGCTACACATTGAAAATATCTGTCCTTCTATCATTTCTGTTTTGTTCATCCAACTTGTACACTCCACGTAAAATTAATTTTAAACAACGATCCCCTCAGCCAGAAGAGCGTGCGTGTTTTTTTTAAGCTCCGTTGATTTTTAGCTGCTGCTCTCGAAATTCGGATTATTTTCCTATCGGCTGATTCAATTTGAGGATTTTGTAGTGATTACAAACTTTGCTGTGCACAACCCATGGCAGAATCTTGATGAATAAATTTGATGAAACTTGGTAAATGATATTTGACGAATTTTCATTCAAGCTCAATCACAACCATTTTATTAGTGCCCTTGGGCAGTTTATTGTTTGCGCACAATTAAGTAACTTGGTTGCAGTAATCTCGTAGCAATTCAAACTAAGCAATGTTTGAGGAACACATAAACACGTTCATCACACTAAAATAACTAAGTATATGCAAGTAAGGCAAGGGTGCATAAAGACATGAAATTAAACACTTCAATTTAGTATAATACATGACAAACAATGCAAATGACTATGGGGTGCAAATACAGCAATTTTGAGCCATCGTTATGGCATGATAAAACATCTTTACTTTTAATTTGAACAAGACAAGTAAAATCACTTTTATCGAGATATTCTAAAAAATATTGATTTTGTTGGTGATAGTTTTTCGGCACATGTGACACACTTTGAGAGGCTGAGCGCACGTGTCGCAGGCACTGTGTCCACAAAGGAAGACAACATTCCGTGGACGTTCCATACAAATGGAACAGCAGTTTGCCTCCTCAATCTCGGCGATTTTGCTCTCCAGCACTCGAAGTTTGTCTGTGCTGGATTGAACTTCATTTTTATTTGTTACAATTCCAGCTGAAATAATATTTAATAATTATTAATAACCTTTATGAAACGTAAATTGATATTTCCTACCTTTTGTGACTAGGCAGGATATCGGAATGTGGCAGAATAGGCATTTTTTCATTCTGCCAGCACAATCCTCGCAAACGACTACATCTCCACAAGGCTCAAATCTGACATTCTGATCTTGCTCTGAGCAAACTGAGCATTCTAGAAGATTCATAGGTGGTACTGGTTTCGAAGTGGAGGGTGTGATGATTTCTTGGCTTTTTTCAGAGCCTTCAGAAACAGTGTCTTCAGAGGATTTATAAGGTCTGAAATAGGGACAAAAATTAACATTAACCATACATAGAGGGCATAAAGCATAGCTTATTATATCATACTTAGTTGTCTTTGCCGAGTGCAATTTTATCAAGTACAATATTTTGGGGAAGAGTTTGGCTAGTTGGTTTGCAAGATTCATAGCAGTCTCTTTTCGATTATTAGAAATGTTAAGATCGGTGTCCATGAAGATTAGATAGCTGACGACAGCTAAGCCGGCACAGCCATATTGGTCTCCAAATTCATCCACGTTTGTGTTTTTAAACTGAAAATTAAATTATTTTCTAACTATCCAAAAAAAGTGCACATTTTCATTGTTACTTCTTCAAGGAATTTGCAGTTGCTTTCATTAACTTGGTGATCAGGTTTGCTGCATGATTTTATCAGTGCAATATGCAGCGGGGTATCACCATTGTCATCCTGGAGATTTGGATTAGCTCCCATTTCAAGCAGCTGCTCAACTTCTCCTGCCTCACCCTGAAATAAATTATGTTAAAAGGCCTGATGGATCGAAAGTATTTTACCTGGTTTATTGTCAAATGCAGTGGAGTCTGCTTTCGATTATTGCAAACATTGACATCTGCATTACCCTCCGTCAAAAGTGCAACCACCACAGCAAAGTGACCATTAAGAGCAGCCAAGTGCAGCGGAGTAAAACCGTCGTCTTTCTTGACATTGACCATTAGCGGCCCAACTTCGATCAATCTTTTCACAGCGCTGGAAGTTATGTTTATAATTAATTTACGTATTAGCTAATAAATCATCTTAAATATTACTATTCATTCCCCTTTAAGGCAGCGTGCTGCAAGGCATTAAATCCTCTTTTATTACGCAGCATCAAATCGAGGTTCGGCGATTGAAGTAGAAGGTCCAGGATGTCATCATACCCCTTGCCGACAGCATCATGCACAGGTGTGTCTCCAAAGCAGTCTTGGGCATTGACGTTGGCGTTAAATGACAAGAGGATTTTGACGCACTCAATGTTGTTTTTGATTACAGAAACGTGCAGGGCAGTGGTTTGCTGCTTTTTGCTTGGGAAATCCACTGAAGCTCCTCTTGATACAAGATATTTTAACATTTCCGCCTTTTGACTAAAAATTGAATTTTTAGAATTTGGATGAGCTTTGAATAAATTAACGAAGTACCCAAAAGCTGCATAGTGAAGAGCAGAGTCTCCTTCATCATCAACCTCATCTAAGGAAGCATTAGCATCCAGCAAAATGGATGCAATTTCAAGTTTCCCTTCATGAGCTGCTATTTGAAGTAAAGTTTTGCCTGAACTTTTCATATCGACCTACAAATAAATTTTCATAATAGACATAAATGAAAACAAGAATAATAAAAAAGTTACATTATTAGGATGTGTTACGACAAAGCTTTTTATCAATTCTCTCCTTCCAGTAGCACTAGCAAGTTCCAACTCTCCAAACATTGCTGTTAGGTCTAATAAATTGAAAATTTATAGTCAAAGAGAAGAAAATGTTAAACTGATTTTATTCTTACTTTTGATATCTTCACTCAATTTATTCCTCTTCTCAGGTGTGACTGAAATAGGCTCTACACTCAGAGGGTTTAGCGTCCAAACTGGTTGGCCTTTGACTGCCACTCTGATGTCACCGTCAGAGTAAACCTCCTGCACCTGTCCGAGCTTCCCTAATATTCCTCTCATCGCATCAACCCAGTCGCCGTGACCTTCTTGATTAGCCTTGACAGTCTCCAAATTATCACTGACTCTGACAAGTTCGTCGACGAGGAAGGCTCGGACTTTGGTCAACACTCCTGGGTGGAAAGTCCAACGCTGATTGCTGCTATTGTTGTACTGGACCCTGATGTCTCCTCGGTCTGTCACACGGTGCACCACACCAACCTTTCCAATAAACTGCAAAAATATCTCCATTTAATTTTTTTGAATCTGAAACTGGTTCCGAATTTTACTTCAGTCATCCTGGAGTTCCAACCTCCGTGGCCTATTTGCATTCTTTGCAACTCCTCAACAGACACTAGTACTTTGACTTTGTCTCCGACATTTAAAACAGGTCGATGCTTAGGAGAATTAAAGTTCCTTTGAGGTTTGTCATTTTCAGCATTGAAACCTTTGGAAATTGATAAATTAATTATTAAATTTTAACTTATGATGATAAAATTTCAAACCTAAAATTGGCAAATGATCAATATAGCACAATCCTCCCGAACCAGCAACTTCGGTTTTGAGATCAACTTGTCCCTTGTGGCCAACTCGATAGACATTCACTGTGCCCGACAGCCACTTGATGCTCGCCACTGACCTACAAGTTTCCTTGTGCCAGTTTTGGATGTCAACAACCTCTCCGATTTGACCTTTAAAAAATAAACAAATAAGGAAAAAGTTCCACTGTGGAAAGTTTTGTGCTACTACCGAAGTCTTGATTTCCCCAATTCCAGTCATGGCCTCGGGAGACTTTAGCTCCAATAAAAATTCCCTTCAGTTCAACAGATCTGCTGTTTATTCTTGGTGCTACTTCAATTCTACAAGAAATAATAATAATAATAAAGTATTATAATTAAATTAAATCATTATAAAACATTGAATTAAGATGATTTTACCCTTGAGAATTGTCAAGTTCGTATCTCAAAAACATGTGATCCAGTTCATGTTTATTTGTCATGTAACAAGGAGAGCAAAGATCATAGTCATGGCACTGTCGGCACTGCCACCGGACTCCAAAAATTGGCTTTCGGCATTCATTGCATAAGAGATCAATATGCTTCACTCCTAATTGAAAAATAAAAAGTCGGTTTCATGCAATTTCTGGCAATATAAATTTGTACATACCTGCTGGAGCAGTGTCATATACCCTTAGATCAAAGGCATTCTGGTACCCAGCTCTGTAGTTGGAACGGTAGCCGTGGTCCCAGAGCACAACGACGGTGCCTTCGAGAGTGCTTCCAGCATTTGGGCCAGCACGTCCAACCTCCACGACTGTCCCGACGTGGCCTAGACCATTGTCTTGGTCATTCCATCGCCAGTCTGGTCCACGAATCACTCGAGTACCGATTGCCAGCATCTTTTTTAAATAAATATGATTTCTGGTGAAGACATAAATTTAATTAGAGAAGGAAAACTTAAGTCAAAAGAGCTTGCCATCAAAATTAAATTATATATTAAATAAGCAATGACAATTTGTTTTGCCAATTATTTATTCATCGTTCATTTTAACATTTTCTGCGTCTTTGCCTTGAATTTAGTTAGCAGGTTCGTGAACTGCAGCACCACACTTCCTTGTTGTCAGGCGCAAAAAAAGAACATAAACATTGCGACACTCACTTTCCCCGGCCGTCTGGTGCCCTTCCGAGGCGCTAAATTTCCCGGCCGAGACGTTCTCACAGTCGGCCCATTTTGCGCTAGTCTTGCTGTGTGTCCAAAGTCCCTCTTCCTTCAAGAATTGAGGCTAAAATTTAAATTTATCCGGCTGCAATCTCTCTTCAATAGTCAGAGGCAGCCATAGTTTTCGTTGTTCGTTTTCTTTTTTGCATACCACCCTCACCTCTTCTCCCACCAATCAGGTTGCTTGACCGCATCGCTATATTATGGCGGGAAATCCTGAGTTTGAAGAAATAATGTATGAGTTGGATCAGAATAGATCATTTTTCTATATTTTTGGTTTTTTATCAGGTTTTTATCTTTAAAATTAATATTTTATTCTCGCAATGAAAATAAACACAAAAATTTTCATTCACCTCTTGTTGGCTCTATTGCAATTTTTTTAAACTTTAATTTTTTTATATACATGCAATGAAACACGATGAATTTTTTTGATGGGGTACTGCAAATCAATTTATTGTATTTTTTAACACCTATAAACAAAATAATAAACAAGGTGAAATAACAAAGATTTTTAACAAATTTTTATAATTTAAGGAAAAGAAAATAATTTGATCTATATTGAAATTAAAAGTAGACAACAATTTAATTATTGCATCCCCAAAGCCTCAATCAGCAACAAGATTAGGAAAGTGGAATGTTTTTTGTGATGTAATAGTAGAAAAATACAAATTAAAATGCTATCATTGTGACACTTCTTTGAACATTCAAAATCTGACGATGAGTGTTTCAGGCAAGATATGTGCTGGCCGAGACATTGCCACCATGTCCTGTCCAGTTGGTGTGGACGAACTTGCCGGGCTGGCTGAGCAACTCATAGGTGTGAGCACCAAAATAGTCTCTTTGAGCCTGAAATAGAATGATTATTTTTTTAATTAAAACTAAATTGATCGAGATAACCACTGACCTGAATGAGATTGGCAGGGAGGCGTTCAGAACGGTATCCGTCGTAGAAGGCAAGAGCAGTGCTGAATGCAGGAGTGGGCACTCCGAGAGTGGCACCAGCGGCCACCACAGTGCGCCAAGAGTCCTGGCAGTTGTGGATGGCGTCGGAGAAGAACTTGTCCAACAGCAGATTGGAAAGTTTGGGGTTCTTGTCAAAGGCAGCCTTGATGTTTCCGAGGAAGATACTACGAATGATGCATCCGCCGCGCCACATCAGGGCGATACCTCCGTAGTTCAGGTTCCATTTGTAGACACTCGCAGCTTCTCTCATCAACATAAAACCTTGGGCGTAGGAAATGATCTTGGATGCGTAGAGAGCCTGGAATTGAAAAAAGTATAAATAAATTCTTGTATTTATTTGAAAAATTAAATTTGTAATGATTACCTTCCTAATGTGTTCAATGAACTCTTTCTTGTCACCCTTGTACTCAGAGGTGGCTGGTCCTTTGAGCACCTTGCTGGCCTGGACACGTTCTTCTTTCAACGAGGATAGGCATCGAGCAAAGACGGACTCGCCAATCAGAGTGACTGGCATTCCGTACTCTAAGGCAGCAATGGCTGTCCACTTGCCAGTTCCCTTTTGTCCGGCAGAGTCTCGGATTTGCTCGACCAGGTAGGAGCCGTCCTTGTCCTGGTACTTGAGGATGTCCCTGGTGATTTCAATCAAAAAGGAGTCCAGCTCACCCTTGTTCCAATCGTCCAAAACCTAGAGATTTGATAAAAAAAAAAAAAATTGTGGAAAAACCAAAGCTTTGAATTACCTTGCTCATTTCCTCGTGAGACAGTTTCAAGGTGTCCCTCATTAGATGATAGGCCTCTCCAATCAACTGCATGTCTCCGTACTCGATACCATTGTGCACCATTTTGACAAAGTGTCCAGCACCTTCTTCACCCACCCAGTCACAGCAAGGCTCCCCATTTGCTTTGGCAGAAATTAACTGAAAAAAATAAAAATTAAGAAATTGTTAGAGATAAGAAGAGAGAATAAAAATTAGCAGATTTGGAATTTTAAAGTTATTAGATTTGAACATTTTATTTATTTTACTTTAGAATTTTCTCTACTTCAGTCTTCAGTTCTTCCAAATTTAATAAAATGTAAAATTAATTACCTGGAAAATATCCTTGATGTGAGGCCAAGCCTTGGGATTGCCACCTGGCATGAGGGACGGTCCATACCTGGCGCCTTCCTCACCTCCAGACACTCCTGAACCAACAAAGTACAGGCCCTGCTTGTCAAGTTCCTCGACTCTGCGCTTTGTGTCCTGGTACTCGGAATTTCCTCCGTCGATGATGATGTCGCCCTTCTCCAGTAGAGGCACCAACTGTTTGATGAAGTCGTCCACGGCTTGCCCGGCTGCAATAAAAAGTCTCAATCAGTAAAAAAAGCAATAAAAATCTTATCTGGGAATTATGATATAATTTTGCCACAAGAAGTGGTTTGTCGTGAGAGTGAAAACTAATAATCGCCAGCAGGCTGAAAGCAAGCCAGGCCGCTTCAAACTATTGCACAAAACTCCTCCGCAGAAAATAAGTGAGATTGAATTTTCATGCTGGCCGATGGGATACATCTGAACCATTGAGGTATCATTAAAAAATTCTCTTGCACGCAAAATAAAAAATGAGTAAAGGAAGCACAGCCTCAAGAGCACCTTTTTGCGCCTGTTTCACTTTAATTTCAAAAAACACTATTGATCAATGTTTCATCAAAACAGCAGCCAAATTTTTATTAGGGCTATAAAAATTTTATTTCTTTTTTATAAGAATCTGCCACTTAAACATTTAATTTGCACAATTAAAAATAGCAAGAAATTAAAAATTTAAAAACAGTCTGGAACAGTCAGAGAATCTTTTCATCTTTTAATCTGCATACAGAAAAGAAAGACAGAATTTAAAAATAGCGATTTTTCAATCTTTTTCATCATAATTCAGTTTTGCAATATTATTTTTATAGTTATTTATATCGGAGAATCCAATCTTCATCGTCTTGTTTTGAATTGGAAGAAAACGCAATGACCATTGATTGTGGGAAAATTATGGTGTATTGGGAAAGGAGATCCATACACAGATTTTCGTCTCAAAAGAACACCTGAGCGAGATTACGAGGCAATTGCTGAACTCAAATAACCCCACTGAATTTAAATGAAACTGGAGAGAAAGCGGCTGCGCCTGTTCTCTGCTGCTAATCATGCGGCAATTTTAACACAAAAGACCTGTGGCTTGGTTTTGCTCCGCAAACACAATCTTGTTTGCCGAAACGACTGATTTATGAATGAGTGATTGGCCGCAAATCGATTCACCTTCGCCAGCGTGTAATGAGAGAGAAAGAACGAAAATGAACCGCGGTTGCGTCATTGCTTGTTTCAAAACAATCATTAAAATCGATATTTATGCATTTCAAAATTTAATTTGGCGTCAACAGACTCGTATTATTTACTTTTTATTTCATAAAGAAAAAAATAGAGTGTGTGGTAGTAAATTTAATTTAAGTTTACGAACCAATTAAATTATCCAGTCGCCGCGGGCAAAAATTTGACCTTTCTCGTGATCGCGTATTTAAAAAAAAAATCAAGCCAGGTGTACGGACTGACCAGGTGTACGGACTGACCAGGTGTGCAAAGCAACCAGATAAATTGCTTGTGAGCGATTAAGCTTTCAATTTTGTATCTTTATTTTCTCACGTTTTACCATAGTTAATGATAAATTCAAAATCTAGAGCAGCACGACTTTAATACCATTGCACGTTTTTATTATTACATTCTCAATCGCGTGACAACTATAATTATTCTGGTTCGACACTCTCAAAGCTGCGCACTATTTTTTTTTTGGCACAAAATCGCATGAAAAGTAATTTCTTTCATTTTAATTGCTATTTTTGCGATTTTCAGCTGTAATCTTTATCCAATTTTTATCTCTGTTAGAAAATGAGTTACTTGGTTGGATGCATCTGCAAAGTGCGTGACCCATAGAGCCTTGAAATAAATAATTTACAATTGAAATCAAAAGTGCAAAATACCAAACACGCCAAACTAACACTATAAAAGCTGCATAATTATATATGTACATTTTGAACACAAAAAAATATAAAAAAATTTGGTTATAAGAAAAAATATCCACAATTTTGCATTAAACAGAAATAACATGATACCTAGAATTAATGAAAATTCAATAAATCAAGTAAAAATATTAATGCTAAAAATAATTTTTCCCAGATACTTTTTTAAAATCAATTACTTTCAAATTACTTTTCACATCTTGTTAAACTGCAAAATTAAAACATTTTTACAGTTTTTTACATAAATTCATCAAAAGGAGACAAATCAGCAGAGTATTTGTGCAGCGGCTGCGCAATTCAAACAATGCAACTTGAAATTTCTAGCAAGAGAAATTCTACAAATTCCACGCCAGTGTGTGACATAATAATTTTAGGCATTTGGGGAATTTTTTCTCACCTTTGACGAGCATCATGACTCGGCGCGGCGACTTGAGTTTGCCGACCATCTCTTGCAGACTTTTGGCCCCGATGACCTTGGTGCCCTTGGCTTCGTTGGCCAAGAACTGATCCACCTTCTCGGTGGTGCGATTGTACGCGCACACGACAAAGCCGTGGTCATTCATGTTCAGGATCAGATTCTGGCCCATCACAGCCAGGCCGATCAGCGCAATGTCTGCCCTGGAATGCCAATTGAACATTTTTTATAACTATTCAAATGCCTATCAATAAAAATTTTCAGATAAAATAAAAATGAATTATAATAATATAGTTGAAAATATGTTTGGAAAAAACATATTATTACAATCAAAGATGGTTAAATTCGTTTTATTTAATGATAAAAAATTTGAAAACAATTTTTTTTTATGATATTAATAAAAATGAAACATTTTTTAAAGAAAATTATTACAAGTCTAGTGATAATTATTGCATTGGAAAATTTTTATTGTTTTGAAGTAAAAAATTAATATAATAAAATTTTGAACAAATCTTTTTTATCCACTTTTTTTTAGCCTGTTTTTTTTCCAAAAATATTTCTAGAAATTAAATCTTTTCAAAATTTTTATATTACATTGCTTTCCGCCTTTCAAGGTCTACCGTGATAAAAAAAAGCAATAAAAAGTGACTATTCGTGATGAGTAGCAACTTTTGCAGAATCACAATGACTGAGCATGAACAATATCACTGAGCGAGAAATTATTCTTCTCTTTGCTTCAGTAACACAACTGAAATTTTTCAAGGTTAAAACAAAGTTCAAATAGAAAATTATCTTGAAAGAAAAAAAATCAGATGGAAACCGAGGAAAAATCAACTATATTTTGTATATTTTAAACGGAAGGAGGCGTGGTTTTAATTATCAATTTACTTTAATCAAACATTTTTTATACTCTGAATTAAAAAAAATTGGTTCATGATTATTAAAATTTATAGACAAATTAAATGCGAAACTTAAGTGAATTGTAATTATTTGATCGCAAAAAATTAAAAAATACGAAATAAAAACGAGTATTAACAATTAATCGGTTTCAGGAGAAAGTCAACAAAACGTTTTGGTTCTCACTTGGGTTCAGCCATGGTTTGCAGGAAAATTCCTCGTCTCGGGCAAATTCGGACAGACTTCTGGACAAATCGTAACAAGCCTCTGCTCGCAACGACAGCCACTTCGGTAAAGGAAAGATTGCGAGTCGAGTTGGATCAGAATTTTATTTCGCACAGCCCCACTCGAACTCCGAAAATCTGTCTCGTCTCGCCCCACCTGCTTGCTTTCGGCCAGCTGGAGGAAAAAAAAAACAATAATAATTTTGTCTTCATCTTCACCGCCAGTTCACCGCGATGTGCGACGGTGAGTTTTCATCTCGTCGCCGACGACTCTGGAATTTCGAGTTTTCCGCAGGCTAAGGTAAGCTTTTGGCCTTTTTTAGTGGTTATTACGTTAGAAAGTTTCGTTTGAACCTAAAAATTGCGACGTTTCTGTCCGTTTTTGGCGAATTTCAAGCGAATCTGAAGAAATGCCGGTACCGGTTTGCTTAAGGAGTTTCTTTGCATCGAATGAATCGCGAGATACTAGGCGCGTACGGCATCTGTAGTCCAACTTGCTAAACTGCATTCTTTGATTTTGGATATAATAAACCTTATAATTAGTGCTAACAATTTATGTCTAGAAAATTTCACAAAATTAAAAAAAAAATTAATTTTAATGACCCCAAAACCATCATAAAAATTGTGTACCTTCGTCGAAAAAATTCATTTTTTTTTCATTTTTTTTCTTTCTAAATTTATTATTATTACAATTTTAAAATTTTGATTTAATGCTAATAAGATCGCTATTAAAACAATTTAAGTTAATTTAAGCAATGTTCGTGATCTGGTATTTATATCATGACCTAGATATCTTTATTATATTCTGGATTAAAAATTAAAATTATAAGGAATATTTTAACGTTTTACAATTTGTTATATTATTTGAGAATTTCTTTCGCTTAAAAATAACTACATTTATTTCTATTCAAATAAAAAAGTTGAAGAATAACAAACAATGAATATCAGTCTGGGCATAAAAACAATTTAAAAATAATTAACGTCGCCAGCAACTCATTAAATATGTAAGCATTTTCCAAGTTTTTTTATTCATTCGTCTTTTGAAACTTAATTGTCGGTCAAGGCGAAGGGAATTAATTTTTTACAGAGAGTGTGCTCTTGGCGTCTGGGCACTGCTTCGGCAGTCTCTTGTAAATTTTGGTGTGGGGCCAATTAAATTACGGCTACTGCTGCTGCGGACTGTGTGAACCGTGTTTAACGTTTGCCACTGTCTGAGTATGTAGTACTTACAGCGTACCAAGAGTAATGAGACGGGCGAGGGGAAGTGTAAGTACCTCGAGGGGAAAAAGTAATTGCGCACCTCCTGCTCCCGCTGCTGCCTTGGTAGCGTTCATACTCTCTGGGTAGGCAACACATTTTATATACAATCTCGATCGCCAGCCTCTTGCGATGAAATTATTTAAAATTTTATCGGCGCAAATCAGGTCAATATTTTATCATCTAAAATGGGAGAAATTCTAAAGGAATAAAAAAACTCAAATAAGAATTTATAATTCAATTTAATAAAAAACATATTTTTTAATTGAAAATACTCATTTGCAGAATTAAGTTAACTGCAAATATTTTACATGAATCAGATTTTGATTTTGCCCTCTTCGACGAGTTTTTCGTACGCTGCTCTGTATCGACTCACTTCGACACCTTCCCAATGCTTTTTTGTCAACCCGGCAAAGCATCTGCAAATCCAGAAAAAAACAAATAATTTATTTTTTTAAATTAAAATTAAAATTGATACAAACTTTTCTTTTATCTCATTCAGGACTTTTTCCTCACTCTCGGTCAAGCCGTTCAGACAAACATCTAAATTGTCCTCGAGCACTTTTGAGCAGTTTATTCCCAGCAAATGGGTGGCCGGGCCTTGAACTGACAATGAATGAAACGCCGCCAGTCGTCCAAGCTCAACTCCTTGACTCTAGAATTTTATATTAATTTAAAATATTGATAGTTTATATATTCGGGATTAATTAAATGGAGCAAAATTAGTTTGAAAATCATTTCAAATTTTCAAAATTAGATTTTATTTTCTTCCAAATAGAAATAAATAAATTTATCTTTTACTAAATCTCATAAAAATCGTTAGCAAAATACAAAATCAGAAATCAGAATATAATTATCTAGTATTCAATCAATGAAGTCTGAAAAATTATCATATAAGATTTATCTTGTATATTTTTAATCCAATGGGAACGAAAAAAGCATTGCGGAATATCAGCATAGAGATTTGAATTCAAAAGCGTCTGATAAAAAACCGCTATCTGATGATGCTCATTCACCACATGTTTTGCAAAAGTCGCAATTTTCCATATTTTTTTGCCTCATTCCTCTCTCTTTTGTGAGTGTGATTATTGGCGTTTTTAAATGGCGAGCGCGCAGTGGAAGCGACGGAGTGAATAAAGTGAATAGAATACCTTGCACATCTCTGCAGCTTTTGAGCACGCGTCCTTAATTTCCTGGTGGGCCGGGTGCCAGGGGAAAGGCCCTTTGTTGGTCAGCATGCTCATGCTCGTGCCTGCCGCGGAAATGATGCCCATTTTACGACCCTGCACACACAAATATAAAAATACACATGTGAGAAAATATCGTAACCTCAAAAAATTGAAAAATTTGTTTTATTATTGATTAAAAAGTTTAATTTTTGTTCAGGAATTAGTGAAATGTGACAGATTTTCTTTTTATTTGTATTAAAAATATAAATTAAAGGCTGACAACATTAGAAAAAGAAACTTAATATTTTATCTCGATGAGTTCCTAATTTCATTGACTAACACACAAAAAACTTGAATAAGTTGTGGAATTAAATTAAACCTCAAAGTTTGCAAATGTTCAGGTCTAAACTCATCTAAACTTTTAAACCATTAATAAAATTGATGAACTATAATTTGAATATCATTTCTATATTGTTATTATTAAATTATTCTGGAAAATCACATATTTTTTTTTGCATTTTCTACCTGGAAAAAAGGCAAAAAACCAAGGAGCGTGTCATCGTGAAGGGTGGAGCGGGCATAGCAAAGGACACAGTCGATCTTGTTCTGGCTGCGTTCAATGGCCTCTTTCAACACGCTAATGGGGTATCCGGTAACCCCGATGAACCTTGCCTTTCCAGCTTTTACGCTGTCCACCAGGGCTGGAATGGTCTCGTTGACCACAATGTCGAGATTAGGTGCAAATTCAATGTCGTGGGCCTGTAACATTTGAAAATTTAAGAAAAACTATAGCAATTTTAAAATTTTCTGAAATTATTACATGTTATAATATCAAAAGCTGATTTCAAGTTGATTACTGTTGAAATTTAAAAATAATCTTAAAAACTTTTTTCATAAACAAAAATTAAGGAGTTCAATCAAATTAAAATTTAATACCTTTTTTGACGTCAAATGTGTTGATTGATTGAAATAAATGACACAAAATTATATTATATTTTACATCGAACTTCGAAACACCCGAATGGCATTATCAGAACATTTTTTGAAAAAGTAAAATTAAAAGAAAATTACCTAAATTTTATCTTAAATATTATATAATAATGCTCGTGCATTTTTCTCGGTATTTCATAATTGCGTCAAATGCAGATTTGTATGTATTCGCAACAAAATCCAATTGGAATCGATCCAAATCAGCGTCTTTGTGCAAATATTTACTGCTTTAACATGAGAGCAATTAGCCCAGGCAACAGAACATACAAACAACTAGACTTTCCTGGTGCTATTTTTTCATTTAAAAGCACCAGACAATGAAAAAGCTGTCTCAATCCCACATTCATTGGAAGGCCGGAAAATAGTCTGGCGCGACACGTGTAATGCATTTCACAAAAAAATTACCAGACCACTCAGACTAACCTGGATGACATCCACATATTCAAGTCCTAGCAGTTGAAGACTCTCGTCGACGCTCTCTAATGTCCTTTTGTAGGAAAAGTCGAAACCAGTTGCCACGTCGGCTGAAAATCTGCCCACCTTGGTGCCAATGTAATAGGCTTGTCTAGGGACGCCTTTCAGTGCCTGCGTATCAAAATAAGGAAAAAATATCAATTAATTTTTGTATTTATAATGGAAAAAAATTATTCCAGCGTTTTTTTGCATTAATCATACAGAATGCAATCAAGCCTCACCTTTCCAAGAATTCTTTCCGAGCTCCTGTCCTTGCCATAATAAGCCGCCGTGTCAATGTAATTTATCCCTCTTTTTATTGCCTGGCGCACGACGCTAATTGCCTCCTCTTCATCAAATGATCTGCTCATACAAAACATCATTATTTCTCACATTTCATTTACGTTTGCAGTTCCCTAGTAACTAGTCAGCTTTTGATGTAGCATTTTGCACTTTGATGTAAACAGCTAAATGGGAAAAAGCTTGGTATCTGCTGTATTTTTTTTTTTTGTTAATTAAAAACTTTTATATTGGAGGGGTTTATATAACTTTATTAAAACTAGATTTTTCATTAATTTATTTATTTTGTTTAAAATCTCGAAAAAAAAATGCAATACATAATTGAATGATGAGTTTAACGTTTACATCATACCGAATAAAAATATATGGTAAAAACTTAAAAGAAATCCAAGTTATTTTTTTTTCAATTATGAATAATTATTTATGCAAATTAACATAAGTTTAGAAATGAGATGAAGTAACAAATTTAAGCTATGAATTGGTTTTTTAAGAGTTAATTGTGAGTAATAGGTTTATTTATTTATTTTGACTATACGTACTCGTAAAAGTTTGCAAGTCCGCCGCCACCGAATCCAAGGTGCGAGACTAGTAAACCTGTTTCGCCCAAGGGATTGTATTTCATCTTTGTCACGGCATCCAAGTCGTGAAATCCCTCAACAAATGTGCTTGGAAGAGTCATGTTTGCTGTTCGAACTCAAAATTCTACAAAACAAAGGCAACCGTGAGGCTGTAAATATATACTCAATTTTATTTATTATAAATTTAAAATGTAACATCTTGATCAACAACAATCAACAATATAATCCTATATTTTTAAAATATTCAGATACATAGTTTGAAAAATCTTAAAACCTAAATTTGGGGAAAATTAAACTAAAATTTAAATTGAAAACTGAATTATAAACTGGGATTGGTTTAAATTTGAATTTGAAATAAACAAGCGTATTACATTAAAATTTTTTCAGCTTTAAATTAAACAATTTTTTCCTTCCATCATTTTACTTCTGAAAAATTAATTAATTAGTCCGTCTTTCATATTTTTCCATCATCCCCTACGGCGGTGCTTTGTTAGTGACACGGCACGGGCTAGCAGCTATTACACACAATTCCTTCCATTTAGTTTTTTTTAACGCGCATTACGTTCCAGCGGAGCACATACCTATTTATCGCGCGACAATAAAACGCCGCCAGCAACCTTTATATTTTTACTCCGAGTCAAGCATGTATGTATGTGCAGAGGCGTGTTGCTGGACGTGTGCACCAACTACTCTCTATATTATTTTCTCCTTCCTCTGCTGTTCTCATGCGATAAAAAATTCTACGGTCCAACATCACACAATCGATTTTGTCCCTCCGGCCGGCCGGTCGGCGATCAAGCGCGAGTTTTTATTATTTCCTACGCTCTACTTCGTGCCCGGTCAGAGAGGAAAAAGTTAATTTTTTCAACCCCCGATGCAATTTATGGATGTTTTTTCAATACCAGAGATAAAATGCACTCACCACCAAAAGCCACCAAAAATGCTGTTATCAAAAGCACTGTCACAATATTTTGATCATGGATTTTGCTCCTCATTTGTTTGGCTGATAATTTCGAGGGAAAATTTAAAAGTTTAAAGGATGTTAAAAAATTTGATGCGATTTAAAAGAAATTAAAAACTTAATATTGATTTATAGGTACATCCTACATCCAAAATATAATAAAACTCCCTTGCATTAAAAAAAGGTTTTATATTTTGAGAATTATCACAAATTAAAAAAAAATATGGTAATATAAAAATACTCACTCACAGTTGTAGTCCTATAAGATATATACGACTTAAAATTTTTAGAGTGTTGTGAGTGTTGTACCCTTAATATGTAATGTGTTTCAAGTACAGAGGGATTACGTGGCCCAGTCGTGGTTTTAGAGTTTATCAACTTCTTGAATTGATAAAGATTCTGCAACAAAAACAGGATGACTGATGATTATTAAATATAGGTGCGTTATTGACTCAAGATATGAGCACAAAAATAGTTTTAAAAAAAATTGAAAATTTTGCAGATATATATACAAGATAGCTTTGTCATTAATTAAATTAGTTTTATTTTTTCAATTGAACTTTTGTAATTTAATTAATGAAACTTTTGACATTTTTCAAATTTAAATACAAAATTTTGTGTCTCACTAGCAGCATAAACCGCAACCGTATAAATTAATCTCTCTCTTTTTCTGCGGTTTTCTCAATGTCGCCGTTTATCAGGCAGTGCCGCTCGTTAGAGTGATGGCTGCAAATTGAAATGTCGGTGGGCTTTTTACGACCGCACAGAAATCAGAGAGTATCTTTGGCACGTACATACATAAAAGCAAAGGGCGCGCCTCCTTTTCATCATCAAAATTTCGTTAGGCCCTCTAATTGTGTGGCAAGGGCGATTTTGATCTGCTCACTTACGTCAGCGCTGGCGATTTCGTGCAGCCGCGAGCTTTCTCCGCATTTCGCCCTGTCATTACACCCTAGGCAGAGGCCAAATGCAGCCCGCATGCAATGTCAATAATTTTATTCGTGATTTGCGCCGAGAAATTGCTTCGAGAGGCCAAATAGTCCCCCAGGGCGTTACCTCAAGGAGTTATTCATGTACAAGAATTCTGCTTCCTCCCATAAATACATTTTACAGGCTGTTTTATTTTATTTATTGTTGGCCTTGACATATTGAAAATGCGTTTAAAATTAATAACATAAATTAAAATGTGGGAAGAAAAATTATAATGTTGAAATTTTTTCTTTAAATCCAGCTAATGAGCATTTTGAATTTAAAATATATCTTATTTTATCTGGTATCCTCCCATTTTCCTTCTTTTTAATTTATATATTTTCCATTTATTTTATTTACACTAAAAGTTTTACTCACAATTATTGTAACAAATAGCACTGTAGAGATTCGAATTTTGAAGTTCCTTGGAATTTTAGTTTTTTTTCTTTTTCATCAATTATCGCTTGGGTAGAAATGTCAGAATTATACTTCTATGCTCTAATTGTTTCATATATAATATTAATATACAATAGGAAATCATTTTACGTTAGCATTTAATGTTAATCCCCATTTCATTGGAGATTTTTTATTTAATTAAAATTTCTTTTTAATGAACACGCAAAAATCCTACCTTGTCTTTTTCCTAAAATCAAAGTGTCGTTGCTTAAGGACTCTTTGTTGACAAAATCATATCTTTGAGGACTACTTATTGACATAGTCAAATCAAGTCTTTACAACAATTGACAACAATGGTGATTAAAATTTCGAAAAATTGCAAAAAACCTTTTTATATTGTTGTGAGGACTTGATTTGACTATATCAATAAGAAATCCTTAAAAAAATGAAAAATGGTGACTAAAATTTCCAAATTGTTTTCCAATAATGGCCTAAAATGGCTCCTATTGTCATAAAGACTTGTTTAGACTGTGCAAATAAGAAGTCCTTAATTGAACACAATTATTTTAATTTGAACTTTTTTTTTGGAAAAATTGTTCAAAGCAAAATTTTCCAAGGCGTGAATTAATTTCGCATCGTCGAAAATTTTGTATTTGTGAAATTTTCCAGCGCAAAATTTATTGCGCGAATTCATAAGATCTCTTCAGAACGAATGCTGAATAAGAGCGGAAAAGTGCAAACAAAAAATCCCCCAGTAAATTTCCATCCCTCTCTCCTCGTGTTTTTCTCTTTGAAAAAAGGCACAGCGTGGCGTGATGAAGTGCGAAAACAGAGCGCTCAATTTGCACACAAGAGAAAATTACGGTGTCTCTTTCGCGCGCGCTAGCGACACTGCTTTTGATTACTTTTTTGCACCAACACACGGGTGGAAAAGAGCAGAAATTTTCCCTGAACACGTTTTGATTCTGGGCGAAATGAAGAAAAACTGCCTGGGCAGTCGGCCCTCAAAAGGAGGCAGCCTAAGAAGTGAAAATTTGCATAACAAGGAGACACACACACACCTCTTCTGTCTCGCCAGCAGCGTGAAAAACGACGTGCGTCCAAAGCACCCGCGCTTGCTGCTCTGAATTATAATTATTGTCGGAGTGGGTATGAGAGAGCGACGAGGAAAAAATGTGTCAAATGAGCGTGGAATTTTTAAATGTCAACAGAAACTCCGCCGAGAGAAATTCTGAAAGCTCATTTATATTACTCCTGATTCCAGCACCATGTTTTCGTCCTCTTCATTTTTACAAAAATATTAATTTACATTTTAACAAAGTTCAACTAAATTATTTGCATAAAAGAACTTAATTATGCAGGAATGAATTTTTATAAACAATACGACGAGCGGGTTGCATACCTCCTTCATCCGCAGGCGCTTCCTGTTGATAAAGTTTGAAGCTTCTCTCTGGCTCAACTTTTTCCTATATAATTTCAGTATATTTCACGGAGTCCCGCAATAGGGCCGAAAAGAACAAGGCCGAAAACGGCTGAGCGGAACAAGGCCGAAAAGGAATAGGGCCGAAAGGAACAAGGCCGAAAGCTGAAAAATAACCGATAACCGCGAGCGCGTCTCAGCGAGAATCCTTTTGCACGCCAATACCAAAATCCTTGATGATGAGGCCGTTTCACATTGGAAAATAGATGAAAATTTAGAAATTGATTTTGCAATAGACATGGCCAAAAATCTCAATTTTAGGCGAGACACATAATCACAAAACAAGATAAAGATAAATTGATCTCTTGTTCAGTTGTTATATAAAACTTCTTAATCTTTTCCCATATAAGATCAATGTAAATTTTTTATGTCGACTGACGTATTGGTTTTATTTTTTCAATAATATCTTAATTGGGGTGATATAAACGTGAGTTAGTGAAACTTTTATCAATTAATTTTGTGAAAAAATACATTTTAGAAAATTACCATAGCAAGAAACTATGTTAAATTTAAAAAATTCCTCCCTATCACAAATTAAATATTTTAGATTATTCTTACTTTGACTTAAAAGTACGGCGATAAAAAAATTTGTGTGTCCCGAGACGTCCCGTTTCTTGTAGGGATGGAGGGTTGACATAACACTGTAATCGCGGTGATTTCCTAAAAACCGGTTTTTCCTATTTTGTCTGCACCGGTATTTCGGCCTTGTTCCTTTTCGTCCCTATTCCTTTTCGGCCTTGTTCCGATCAGCCGTTTTCGGCCTTGTTCTTTTCGGCCCTATTCCGGCACTCCTATTTCACTTCCATATTTTTGGAGTGTCGGAATTGTCAAGTATGATAAATAACCATATAAATTCTTGTTATATCTTCAATTGAAATACAAGCATTCAATTGTAAAATTTGTGTTAGCATCAAAATGATAAATATTTTGAGAATATTTTATTTAGTGACTCAATATTATAGCAGTATCAGAGATGAGAATTTTCATTAATATCTGATTAATATCCTTATTTCTTTAAAAAGATCTGAAAATAAAAAAAATGACACATTTCCAAACAAATAGCAGCAGAAAATTTAAAACTATTTTTTACATAACAAAATATTTTAGAGATAACTTTTATTTTAACTTACTTTAGCATCTTTACAAAAATTTGTTTTACAAGGCGTGTCAAATTATTTAGCAATTAAGGTAATTTGTATTTTTCTACGCATTACTATAATGCGTCCCTAGTTTTGGAGAGAAAGAATTGATAAAAAAAAAATGTCTGGAAAATGCGTTTCTAATGCAAAATAAATTTCACAAAACCTGGATCGATGAGCGTAATCTGCATTTGATGAGAATAAAAACACCAGCCGTGCAGTTTGTGGGCAATCAAATCGCAACTGACTGAATTGAAAAAAATTCCATCAAATCTGAATCAATTTTTGTATCATAATTTTTTTTATAAAATCGAACAAATTATTTTTTTGTATGAAATTAAAATTTTTGCCAATCTTTAATGTCAGTCATCAAAAAGGATCCTTGGGCATTTCTCCTTTAAGTCGGAGGATGTGCGACCGCGCACACACTTTTCCATTTATTGTGTTTTTCATCTCGCTTATCGCCACTGCTTTTCTCGCCCGATGGCTTTTGGCGCGTGCGGCACAGATGGTCTGTCGTCTGTGAGTGCTCCATCTCATTTTTCACGTCGGCCTAGTGCATTTCCACCAATCCATTCATCTGTTTTCTAATGCAAGCGCCTGTCAGCATTCGGCGCAGGATCGAAACAATACCCCAGCAAAAAGCCCCCGAGAATTGCACTATGAAAAACATTTGAAGATGGACGACCATTTTTCTCATCCGTCATAAAAGCTGGCTATGGGTATAATCTTTATAAAGATATTTGTAACAAAACAAATTTTGTTACCAAAACTACAAAAAATTTCAATTGCTCTCTATAGGAATCAAATTTAAATTTTATTTCTAGGTCTGTTTGACCACGATCACAGGTTTTTATATTATTTCACTTCTTCTCTTCAGGCTATTCCTGCGTC